GTTTTTTCGTTTTTTTTAAGTGAATGAAGTAAAGTTTGCTTTAAATTACGTATAAAGATCTCTAAAGCATAGACCTTGCGTATACTATGTACAAGAACAATTCAATTTCATTTTCTCATCTAAACGCACATATGCACAAAGCATATATTTTTACATCCACATAAATTTCCATTTATGAGATGAAAACCAAACAAAAATAAATTGAAATTTTGCATATGTTTGCGTATTTGCTTAATAATTTCCAGCATGTAAAAATATTTTGGAAGCAGTTTTGGCAAATTATTCAAACATGTTATAAAATTGTCAAACTGATGTTTATCAGCGAACTCTGATTTATGTATTTTGAGGGATATCTAAAAGTACATTCAACAGAATAGTCTATACATTACCTCCCATTCATTCATTCATGGACGTAAATACATATTGTTAACAGAGATAATTTTAATTACAGCCACAAATTGAACATTGCATAATTTAAACGACGGTTATTAAAATTTATTAAAATATGAATTGAATGAGAATCAAGCAAATAGTTTGGAGCTACTGTTGTATAAATCATCAACGTTTGTGAACTGATATTATTTAGCTCTTGTTAAATAATTTTAAACCTTTTTAATTCTACAAAAAAATATAAAACTTTGATAAAATACATTTAAGCCATGAGTCGTTATTTCATTTATCTATCAATTTGCTCATCATTCTTGACCTTTAAAATTTTTCAATCAATTTTAGATCTCATAAAAATAAACCAAATACAGGATCAAGTAATGTGCATATAAAATCTCAAGTCATAAAGTAACATGCTTCAAAGATTGTTTTTATATTAAAAATATATATATATATATATATATATATATATAAAGATTGATCTATTTGGAAAATTTTTACAGCATCACTTAACTCTTGAACATGTCTTACCCTCGTCCACATCTTATTTTTGTTTTACTTTTATTCAAAAAGTTTTATATTTCAGCACTTAACAGTCTCTTAAATGATTGAATTTGAATAGAGCATTATCAAACGGTTCATATTTTAAGTTTGCTGCATACTTGAGTACATAATGCATTGTAAATGATATAAATGAATTCATCTTTTGTTCTGCAACTGTGGAAAAGTGCAAAAAACATATAAAACAGGATATTTTGAAAATTAACAATCAGAAATTTTTGCATTTTCTTAATATAAACTTTTTATTTGAAATCATTTAATACTTATTTATTATTTTATTCTTATCATACAATATTTTCAACAAACAAAGCTGAATCAAAGCTTTGAATATGAATAATCGTCTTTCCTATAAAATTACTTACTAGTAATAAGCATCATAAATGAGATGAATTGTGACCTATCTACTCATTATCACAAATCACATAACTTTATCATCATTTACTAATATTCATTACACATATCATATTTTCATAACTTCAAATCACATGATTCATTTTAATGATATTGATGATGAAAATTATCATGGAAATAAATAAAAAATTAATTAATTTAAAATGAGATAAATTGGAAATTGCTATCAATAGAGTAATATCTAGTTGCTTGAATAAATAACCACTTATATGTAGCAATATAAATTTTTAATTTCAAATATGATCTAATTACTGTTTTGATGGTATGTGTGATTTCATGCCATTATTTTTCAGTAAGTTATTACCGGATTTCAGTGGGTTTTCGAAAGAAAAGAATAAATATAGAGTGTTTTTGAGACCTCAACTATCTAGGGTACACATATGATTCTATGAATTGTCTTGAAATTGCACTTTCAAGCTTTAATGTTCATAATATAGTTTAACAATTATTTGATTAGCACTTAAGCTGTCAGTGTGCTTTAAAAACTAGAAAAAGGAGTTATTTTTAAAAAACTCAATTTTTGTGGAAAGAAGAACCCTGACTGTCTTAAAATAAAAGCACTCTCAGTCAGAGCTCATAAAAAATTCACTTGCAAAAGTTGTCTAATTTAAAACTTTTGCTATCACTCATTCATTTTTTTCATGCTTTTATTTTAAATTACAATGTGCGAAAATGGAGAAGCAAAGACAAAAATACGTGACATCCATAAAATAAGGAAAACGACATAGAGAAAAGGAGAAGAAAATCTTACATCAATAAAAATATTTTCAAGACGATGAGCAAAAAAAGGACAGAAAGAAAAGGAAATAAAAACTTTTCGATTTTTGATGATGTTGATGATGATAATGGTATGTTCAGTCAATGTATGGAAATGTGTATGTTAACAGAGCACGAAATATAAAAGTTTATTGGAAAATGCTTCATTTTTCTCCAAATATTGGCTATATATGTATGTGCCTAACATTTATTCTTTTCTGTGAATTTGTTAAACCTTCAAATGTGAAACGAGACGGAGAGGAAAATTGAGAGGAATTTGTTATAATAAATATTTTTGACGTGATTTATTTTCTAAATATGAAAGGCACATCACATCACAATTTATCGTATAAAAAATTGTTGAGTGAGGAAGGCAAATGGTTTGGGAGCATAAAGAAGCCCAATACACAAAACAAATACATAAATCGGCCAAAAGAGTAGAAAGAGAAAATTGAAGACCGACAAAAATTTTAGGGGTCGAAAATCTCATTTTGAAATTCAAATTTTTATCCATCAAAGGATCTATTCGTATAAATTTCACATTTATGCGTGCATCGATTTTTTTGTCTCTTGTGTTCTTTTCATATCCGAAAAGTTCTCAACATTTTATTCATTACATTTTCAGTGATGAATTTTTCTTCTCTTCTTCTTTATGGATCATTGGCCTCGAGTCATCATCTTTTGACCCTGAATAAGTAGGAGCGAAAAAAACTCTATCCTATTCATATTCCATACTCTCATCGTCATTTTAAAAGGATCTCTTCTATTTGAACTATTTTTCAATGTTAAAACCTTTTTTTGCTCTTTTCCCTCTTTTAATGAATCAATCAATCATTTTTTTTCGTGGAAAGACTTGAGAAATTTATTTTCTACTCGTATGTTCTCACAAAATCCACAATAATAGCTTTTCTTCAAAAGAGACATTCATTGATTATGACACGTATTAAAATTGAAATTTGTGACTTTGATTTGAACAGCAATTTATAGAGCACTTTGAGCCTCCTGAGTATATTTTTTGTGTAACATGTTATCACGCAAATCAAAAGTCTTTTAATTTTCCATCAAACCTTTAATAGAAAAAGCTCTCGAAAATTTGCACTAGTTAAGATTATTATTTAAATTTTAAAACTTTATCTTTCTCATTTTATCTCCTAAAATTGATAGATATTCATTCAACATCCATTATGCCATAAGAAAAATATCATAACAATATTTATATATAACCTTAGGATATGAAACCTTTTCATGACAATCAAAAGAAAACAGATTTTCGAGAAATTCATAAAAGATTTTCTCTCTACGGCGATTATATTTTTTGTGTGATAAGATTTTATTTGCTCTATTAATGCATCCATAGGAGAGTGCTGAATAGAATTTTAATGATGTTGAAGAAGAATTGTTTATTTATAGAATGAAAAAATCATTTCAAAACCAATCATGTTTAGTAGCTAAAATCAAACCGAAAACTTGATTAGCGATAAAACAGCGATAGCGCTTTATTATGCACATGTTCAATCACGACTTAAGTTTATGAATGTTGTGTGGTCAGCAACTGAGCAGTACAACTTAAACTCGCTTGAAATTGCCCAAAGAAAGTCATTAAGAATTCTTTTAAACAAAACCTGGTTCTGCAGCATATCAGAATTGTACTGGGGGTCCTCGATTTGAGTAGATTCTATTTGAGTAGATTCGATTTGAACAGAAAAATTTTTACCCACCAAAATATTCGATTTGAGTAGATTTCTTCCTGTTTTCTTCGATTTGAACTGTTTACAAAACAAATATTTTTGATAAAAACATTTCAGAAAATATTTTTAAAACATAAATTTTACTGCAATAAGCGGGAACTTATCATATTGATAGAAAAATCAATACTAAAGTTACAAAATTAAAGTAAAAATTTAAAAAATCGCTATAAAATTAAAAGTTCAAATTCAAAAACCTTACAAATTGTTCAGTGAATTAACATTTGCAAGGTTCTCATATTTTTGTTTTGTTTCAAAAACATATTTTTTGTGAATTTCTGTGTAAAAACAATATGAATATGCCTTGAAATAAATTAAGTTATCTAAAACACATAGGAAAAGTTAAGCAACGAGGTAAAATGTGCAAAAAATGATCAAAAATTTCATTGTTTTGATATATTTTTTGGACTCTGGAACAAAACATGTAATTTTGTATTGATTCTTTGCCTCGATTTGAATAGATTCGATTTGAGTAGAAATTTTTTGGAACAAAACAACTACTCAAATCGAGGACCCCCAGTATAGTATAAAAATTCTTCCAGTCACTACGCTATGTCAAAGTAGTATATGCATTCATGTCTTCAAAATTACGTCGAATATGCTTAAAAATAGAGTATATATTTTAATATATTCAATATTCAAAATGCTAATGAAAGACACAACTATCGAACAAGACAGAGAGAAAATTTTGTCATTCCAGCTACTCGTACCCAGTTAGGTAGTCAAACGTTCTTTATTAGAGGGCTAGTAATTTACAATTCTCTCGAGCAGACAATTAAGAGCAAATTTTCAATAAGTTTATTTAAATCTAGGGTTAAAGAATGTTTCTATAAGATGTATTGTGATGCTAATAATAATAATAATAATTTTTAAGTACAAAATGCACTATGTAGCCAAATTATGATTTAATTTTGTAACAAAGCCATTTGGCTATTTACAAATTAAATGAAATACAAACCAAAAAAAAAATAAAATAGATCGGTCATCTCAAAATTGCTTAAAATATCAATAATTGAATTAGCAAGTTATTCATATATTCAAGTAAATTTAAAAAAAGACGTTAAAAAAATACCGAGAAAAACCTAACGTCATCAGCGTTGTTTCATTTTCATCTTGTTTGTAGTCTACTTTCAGTCATCATTTAGCTGTGATCGTGAACAATTGAAGTTTTGGAGTGAAACAATTAATTTATAAATTATGGGAGATTTTGAAAAAAGGAGATTATCGAACATGTTTAGTTCTTTAAGACCTAAGCAAAAAGCTGCAGAACTGAAGAAAAAGTAAATTGTTAATTTTAAGCTGAGATTTTAACTATAATTTCGCAATCTTTTGAATTACGATCTCAAATAACAGTAACATCAAATCAACAAGTTGTTTCAAATCAATTATTAATTCATAATGTAGATATAGCATAGCATATTCTTTATTTCTAATCAGTCAAATAAAAACTTAGTGCTAAATTATAAAAATTAATCTCCAATGTATATTTAGATCATTGTTATATCTACAATTACTTCATCCTTAAATGACTGAGCTTAATGTTTATTAAATAATAAAGCAGATTACTAAATAAAAATAATAATTTTACTACACTGGATTTAAAAAAAATTCAGTAACATCAAATCCACATTTAGTTTAGTTTAAAAAATAAAATAAAAAAACCAAGCATATAACCAAATATAACAGAGTATAACCAAAGTTATCCGCAGCGTTGTTATATCATATTACGTCATATTTCGTTGTTACTGTTTCAACTCAATGTGGATATTTGAAATTAACGTCCACAGATAAATTTAATTTTTTAAATTCTTCAACACCAATCTGTCACACACTTTGGGTCTCAATCCCCAAAAAATTTAGATATCACAAATTAACACCATTTATTTATCTTTGCAGAATTCTGCAGTCGAGATCTTCACTTTCAGCATTAGTACTCGCAAATGCTGAAAATAATCTTTATTTATGTCAAAATGGAATTGATATGCCAATATTTACTTCAGAGATGAAAGGAATAAAACCGACAGTTGCAAAAAAAATTTCACCTAAAGAAATAACAATTTTTGAATCAATAGAAAATGAAACAGACAATGACGAAAGCCAGAGAGAAGTTAATGACGTCGGCAAACACACACCACACATTCTTGAAATTGTTGAGAAACACGTAAGATAAAAAATTACTTTATTTTTAAATTCTCGTTAAGAATTGTGCAAGTTTTTTTTTTATAGAAACATAAAATCATCCTAGATGTTCAAAAGCTGTTAAGAAGCAACAATAATTTCGATTCTAAGGAAAACTTAAATGATGATGAATACATAGCAGTAAATAATATAACTGCAGAGGCTTATATGAAGGATGTCTTTAATGCTGCACATATGGAACGGTTAAATCTGGAAACGCAATCAAGAGAATCGATTGTCAATGCTGTAGACACTTCCGATAAATTATGTACACCAGAAGCAACAATAATTGATAACATAGAAGCTCATGCTGCACTTATACAAGTCATTCTGAAATATGAACTTGAAGTTTCAAGAATGCCGCACTATAAGTGGAATGAAAATTTTAGCGTGACTGCAAAAAAAATATTAAAACTTCATTCTGATTTTCAATTAAATGAAGATTTAAGTATTTTATTTGCAAAGTGGACTGCTTACGTAGGAACTCATCAGCAATATCCACTAAGTCTAGAAAGTTTTCATACTATTCTGGAAAAAGTGATTTGTCAATGCACAAAAGCAAAAAGAAACAAAGCATTTAAGATAAAACTACCTGGTGTAAAAATCTCCCCTGCAGCAATTGCAAGAGTCTTAAAAGCTGGGATTGTTCAAAAAGGAATTTCAGATTCCTCAAACAGCAACAATATCCATTTAAAAGCAAAAACAGAAGTTGTGAAATTCTTTTGGAAATCAGCATATGAATTATTTGACAATTTTCTTAGTTTTGTTGAAAACCTTCATTATGATATAAATTCATCGAACGTTCTCGCAAAGGGACAAACATTAAAGAAAATGTTCATTATTATCAAGAAATTTGAAAATATTGAAATTCCAGATGATTATGAGGAGAGAAATTTCAAGGAATGCGTAAAAGAATCTTTAATTTTTGGAACTAAAGAGCATCTTAAGAAGAACATTAATATCAATGTCTTAGAAGACCCAAATTTGAGCACGTCAAAAGTTGTAGAATTGATTAACATCCTGAAATTTGTATTACGTCATTTAGAAGAATTTGATGGAATATATGGCCTTGTCTTTGAATTGTAAGTTACTTGAATTTTAAACTTTAATGCACAGAACTAAATTTCTTTACAGTTTTTATAAGGAATCCACATACGAATTATTATTTTCTGTCTATGATTCTGAACTTACAAAAATCATAAAACCTGCAATCTCAATAATTGGGAAGATTAAGAATGAGGATATTAAGGATTATAACGAAGCAGACAAGGATGGATTAAATAAGATCATTGAACTTTACAGTGAACTTAAGAATTTTACAGATCATGTTGAGAAAAAACTTGCAAATGGAAATTTTAATTTAAAAAAATATAAGCAGTGGTTTATAGCTGAAATTGATGTTTGGAGGAAGTTGATTGAAACAAGAGATCTTATCAGGTAAATTTCAAAGTCTTTAGTTATATTTTATTCTTCGTGATGGTCGTGTCTGTCAATTGTCAGATTAATATAATAACACTTTGAAGCATTTCGTAAACTATTTCAATAACAAATTTATTTTTAACCATAATTCTAATAGAATTGACAAATCGATTGAAATTGACGAATTAAAACTAGAATTCTATAATGCAAAGTATTCATCTTCTGCAATTGACACAATTCAAATACTGTACGGAACGAAAAAGTTTTGGGAAAATCTTAATTGGTTTAACACAAGTGAAAAAGAGAATCTTGTTGAGAAAATCGCTATGGATATATGTCATGTTTCTGTTATGTATTTCGAAAGATTTATGGAGAAAATTGAAAAATCTGTGGAAAATGAAAAGAAGACGATTGACAAAGTCTCATCACATTTATCAGTAGCCATCGGAAACTACAAGCACATTTGTGAAAATAATCAAAACTTAATGAATGAGTTCATTTTAAATAATAAAATCACGGATGTAAGTGCCATACAGAAACATGTTGATAACACAAAAGAAAATTTGTGTGAAAAAGTTCATCAGCTGTTGGCTACAATATTAAAGTTATTATATCCAACAATAAGAGAAATGATTGTCGAAAATGCAAAGAATAAAAACTTTAATGACCATGATTTTTTCATGTGTTTAACGAGACACATTGAAGATATGCTAACTATATTGCATGACGAGCTAGCACGAAATGAATTTGGAGTGGCAAAATCAATTTTATTGCGTGATATTTTGGAAATGTTTTCCGAAATAGCGCAAGACTCAATCAATGAGAAAATGTCACAAATCTTTTTTATAAATCTCCTAAAAATTTTCTCTTCATTAAAGCACACTTTTCAGTACATAGAATCAGAGAATACTATAAACAAAAATAAGAAAGCACAAAAAATTGAAAAGTTATTAGAATATTATGCCGTAGATACATCGCAACTTATTCTTCGATACTTTAAGGATCGATATGAAATTCAGAAACAAGCTGGCAAAAATTTGTCTATTCCACAAAGATTTTTAACAGTTAAATGTGCTTTTAGAGGCTTAAAACTTAAAATAGAAATATTAAGTGCTAACGAGCTTAACACGTATGAAATGAATAGAAAATGTGATTCATACGTAAAATTTTATATTATTCCTGAGAGATTGTTTCCAACACATCAAAACTTTAAGACTAAAGTTCAACAAAACAATAATTTTCCATTATACGAGGAAGCTTTTGAGATCGAATTGACAGAAGAACAAAAAAATATGAAGGATGCTATACTATACTTTAATATTAAGCACAAATACTTAATTGCATCAAACGACTCTATAGGTGAAGCTTTTTTATCTTTCAAGGATATTCTAGAGGAATCAAAAAATGCAAATCCAGTGAAGTTGACACTAACGAGATTACAAAGCGATGGTAAACTTTTTTAATTTGCAAGTTTTCGATTAATTTTCTAATCTTGACCTTTGTTTTATTTTTTAGATCTTGAATCATTCAAAGCAATTCAATACAGAAGTCAAACTGGAGACAAAGAAACTAAAGATATGCTGGTAAAATTCACTAAATTACCTAAAGCTATTTAACGACATGCTTCATCGAGCAATTAAAAAGAACTTATTAAACAGCTTAAAAATATTTTCATTTAACTAGAACTGTATTTTATACTTAAGTCAATAAAATATGATTTACCTTACTTCAAAAATATTATCAAAAACCTTCTTTTTTTGACGCACTCTTTAATTTTAAACTCTTTGGGGATAAGAAACATATCGCAATCAGTTGTATTATTGGATGAATTTACTTGATTCCAAGTTTTGTTAATCGATGTTATAGAGTATGTGTTGTATCCAAAAAATGGCTTAACCTTGTTTTGAAAATATATAAACATTTAAACTTAATGTTAATCTCGCTATCATCAAATATAAACTTGTGTTGCATATTCTTTTATCAAAATGATAGCTCGAAATAAATTCGTTATACAATTTCACTAAATTGGTGTGGCGCAAAGTAGTCTTTACCAATTACATTCATTTTTTATGAAGAGTGTATCTATCTTATTATAACGTTATAAGCATACTAAACTTCTATTCTACTTTTTTATTCCTCTATAAAAATCATAAACTTAAGAATTTGTCGACACCTTCCGTATATTATTGGCATACTACTAAAGGGGTTAAAAATTTTACAATCAGCTATATTGTTCGCTACTCTCATAAAAAAAAGATTGTGTACAAAATGCTTATCGGTTGTACGATTACTTACTCTTACTTAGTGCAAGAACCTAAAAAAGTAGTAGTATTTTATACATTGTACCGAAAAGTCGATCTAAATTTTTAGCTCGCGAAAATATGACAAATTAAAAAAAAAGAAAAGGGTAATCCTTAGGGGCTGTTCACTTATTGCGTAACGCGAAAAAATGACTTCTTAGACCCCCCCCCCTCGTAACAAAATCTTAGACTTTCTTATTTCTTTGTTTGAACCGTAACAAAATCTTAGACCCCCCCCCTCCCCCTAAAAGCGTTACGTAATAAGTGAATGGCCCCTTATCAATTAGAGTAATTCTTTTTTTGTAATAAATTAAGTGATAAATATTTTGTAGATGCTTGAAAAAAGAAAAAGTTCAAAAAGTTATTACCAATGAAGTTTTTGATTAAAATAAATGATAAAGGTGATAAGAAACAAGATATACTTCACATTTTCATTCAAAACTTTTAGTTTAGCACCTTTAGTTTAATAAAAATTTAATTTTTCTTCTTGTATACTAGAAAAATTGATATTATTTAACAGAGATCGAAGCCGATTTTTTCGGCTTAACTCAATTTTTGATATTTAACACCCATTTTAAGTATTTAAATTGAACTTTACATGCTTTACTATGATTCTGTGAAATATTTTTTCAGCATGTAGCTATAATGAGCTCAGAATTTCAAGTTAAAGAATGTTAAGCCGAAATTTAAGCCGATCGGCTTAAAATCGGCTAAATTGAAATTCAGAGCTTACTATAGCTACATGCTGAAAAAATATTTCACAGAATCATAGTAAAGCATGTAAAGTTCAATTTAAATACTTAAAATGGGTGTTAAATGGCTTTTTTCTATCAAAATAATCAAAAATTGAGTTAAGCCGAAAAAATCGGCTTCGATCTCTGTTATTTAATGTATTTTATTTAAATAATTAAAAGTCTAAAAGCATAAATTGAATTCTTTATCACTCACGGATGAAATATGATTTCAATTTTTTTATGTGTGTATACAAACATTAAGAGAATTTCAAGCGAAAAAAATTAAAATGAGCATGTTGACCTAAAATCTCAAATGTAATCTATTTTTGTTCTTTTCTCGTCTTAGTTCTCGCCTCAGTCTGAACTTCTCTGTGCGTGATAATATATAGCCTTATTCATTCGTTTTGTGAATATTTTAAAAGAAGGCTTCAGGAACTTTTAAAGAGCATAGTAAATAGAAATGTTAAAATTGTTGAAATTGCTAAAAACTTCAAAGTCTAATAACAGTGTAAATGGCTCCAAAGATATGTAAGTATTTAAGTCACATATTATGTCTCTGAAATTATGCTTTAAATCAGTTGAAGTACACTATAGTATAAACTTTTCATGAACATTATAAGAAGTTTATTTTGTAGAAACTGTGCATATTTCTTCTTCTTTAGTCTATTTTTAACTCAAGAATTTAATTTTGTTTAAAAAAATTAGTGTAAACTATTTTTTAACTTTTGATGAAAGTGAATAAAATCAATCACACAGTAGATAAACATAAGGTTTTCTCTAACATGATTTCATTGAAATACGCGGAAAACAAAGATGCTGCCTATTAAAAAATGCGAGAACGAATGATATACAAAAGCGCATTTAAGATGAATTTTGTTTTCTCATTTTAAATAAGATATTATTTTCATAGATGCTAGTTTAATTAATATGGTAAGCAAAAAACCATTTACACGTAAAAAGTTTAAGTGAAATTAAATTTATATAGAAGAAAAATAATCAGAATTTCAATCACATTGAAATGATCAATAGCACGTTTTTTGCTTGGTACATTTCAGATCAAGTAATCAAATTATTCTAAGTGATGCTTTATTAGAAAATGAATTTCAAAATGAGCCAATCATCCAAGAAAGTTGCGTAATTGATGGAAACGGCGCAAAAATAAATGTAACTTACAATCAGGAACGTGTTAATAAATTTGTAAGAAAAAGTTATTGAAAATATTTCATTTAAATAATTCAAACATTTTTTGGTATATTTCTTAATTAGAAAACTGACATTTTTAAGTATTTTACTATTCTTTTACCTCAAACTGATTGCATCAATCTGAAATATGATAAAAGTTTGGAGTTATCATATGTTAAAAATATTTTTGAAAAACAATTTCAAAAGTTTGATATCAGTGCTGATTGTATAAAAAATGGAAATGGATATGCTACAGTACAAACTGAAAATACGATATCTTGCACAACTTCCTCAAATATGATTGACAATATAGAAGCTTGTGCTTCGTTAATGCAAATTTTGTTAAAAAATGCATTTGAAAACTCAAAACATGAAGAATTGGACAATGACGCAAAGAAAATGTTACAACTGTACACAAAGTTTCGACTCGATGATAAAGAACCATTTGTATCATATGCAAAATGGATAGCATATACTGAACACTACCAGTTGCACTCATTTGATCCAGACATTTTTTTGAAACTTCTTGATTGTTTAATTTGCCAGTTTAAGAAGAAGAAAAATAAGTGGTTGAAAATTTTTAAAGCTCTATTCAGAATTAAATCAAAAAAATCACAAGATCAAATCATTTTCTCTTTGAATTTTTCAAAAAAATTTGAGAGCAAGGAAGAGCTTTCAAAAATATTCTGGGAATCAGAAACAAAATTACTTGATTGTTTTCTAAATTATATTCATGATCTTCATTACAATTTAGAGAACGACGATGCCAATTTAAGTCCAGTTTATCTTGAAAAAATGTTTGAAATTATTGCAAAAATTAATACCTTAAACGATGTGAAAGAAAAAGATTTACAACTCTGTGTGAAAGAATCTTTAACTCATGGAGCTATTGAACAAATCACAAAAAATACTAATTATTCAATTTTAAACAATTCATCTCAAAATATTAAGAGACTTGATGAGTTGATTAATACTCTGGTGTGGATTAAAAAACATATGATCGATTTTAACAAGAAATACGGAACAATTTTTGAAACGTAAGTCGAAAATAAATTAATTAATTATATAATTCATTATCAAAACTATTTTATTCCATCAAAAGGTTTTTTAAGACCTCATTTACTCATTATTTATATCCTGCATATGACGAGCATCTAGTGAAAATAATCCAGCCTGTCATACTCCAGATTACTGATATGAGCAAAGAAAAGTTCAAAACCTTCAATAAAGATGATGAGGATGTGTTAATCAAAGTTTTTGAGCTTTATCGGGAAATAAACAATTTTTTGGACTTTGTCATGAATAGCTTTAAGATACAAGATCCCAATTTAAAAGAGTTCACCGACTGGTTTTTGACAGGAATTGACTCATGGCGGAAAGCTTCGATGATGACAGTTTTATTCAGGTAACTTGATAAAATAAATTTCATTTACAGAATGTCTTCGATTTGCAGAATGTTTCATTTTAAGTTCAATCCTATGCAAATCAAAGATATTAAAGAATTATTAATTTTGATTGTGTTTATTTAAACAGAATCGAGAAATCTATTGATGTTGATAAACTACAACCTGAATTGGACAGTGTTAAATATTCAACCTCGGTTATAGATACAATGCAGATTCTTTTTTCGACTAAGAATTTTTGGGAACATCTCCAATGGTTTGATAAGCACAAAGATGCTGATCTTGTTAAAGAAATCACTAAAGATTTGTGTTATGCTATCACCTGCTATTTAGAAAAGTTTATTGATAAAGCTCAAAATACAAATGGTGAAACTGAAGATGACATTAAAAAAATTTCAAAAAAATTATCACTTATAATCGCAAATCATAATTATGGACTGGAAAATCTTAGAAAATTGCTTGACGAATTCATCAAAAACAATAGCACAGACAGAACTGAAATCAAAGATCAATATCAAAAAACAGAAAAGGATCTTAATGAAAAAATTCACGAGTTAATTACTTTAAATTTAAAACCAATAAGTATCAATATTGAGAAAAGACTTGCTGAAGATGCAAAAGCTAGTAGGTTGAGTGAAACTAAAACTTATGACTGCTTATTTACGTACATAGAGGATATTTTAGCAACTTTACATAGTAGTTTACCAAATTACGAATTTGAAATTGCAAAATCAATTTTGTTCCATACCATCCTTAATAAAATATCGAAATTGATTGAAAGTGCAACCAAAAATAAAAAGCCGATAGAATATTTTATGGTACTAAACCAAAACTTTGAAATACTTAAAGAAATCTTTAATTATTCGATTGATCCTAAAGACGAAACAGCAAATGATGAAGTAATAAAAAAAATTAAATCGATTGGCAATTTATTAGGCAGCTACAATTTGAATTCAATGCAGCTTATTCATCACTACTACATACATCGATACAAAATGCAACAAATGTCCGAGGAAAATTCTACAAATCTATTTGGAGTTCTTACAATTCGATGCAGCATTAATGACAATGTGCTTAAAATTCATATTTTGAATGCTAAAAATCTCATTGGTGGTATAATGAATAAAAAATTTGATTCATATGTCAAAGTTTTCATCATTCCTGACAAGAGATATCCAATGTGTCAAGATTTTAAAACCAAAATTAAACAAAATAATGATTGTCCATTGTATGATGAGACGGTAGAATTTACATTGACAGAAGAACAACTAAAAATAAAAGATTCGATCATTTACTTTAATGTCATGAAAAGATTTTTAATAGGAGGCAATGGTTGTAATGCTGAAGCGTTTTTATCATTTGAAGATATCCCTAAAAGTAATCAGAATAATAATTTACAGGAGTTCTATTTAAAAATGACCAGATTACAAAATTATGGTAAGAATCATTAAACTATGGATCTGCTCATGATTAAAATTTATTTTTTGACTGATTTACAGAACTTGAAATATTAAAAGTCATTCAGTATAAAAGTCAAACTGGAGATAAAGATGCAAAGAAGTTTTGGGCCAAAATAAATAGACTTCCAACTACCCCTTAAATTTAAGTATTAGTCGTCAATAAACAAAAAACACTATTAATATCTTGGGAATCGTTCACTTATGACGTCCGAAATTAACGGTCATTTTTCAAAAAAGAACAATGGATTTCCTGGAATTTCTATTGTTCTTTTCTTGCTGACCCCCCCCCCCCCCCCCCTGAACGTCATAAGTGAACGGCCCCTTGTCTTTTAACTTTAACAAAATAAAGTTGAGATAAACCAATAAATGAAAGTTCTCGACAAGAAAGTCTATAGCTTCAAACATATTTAAATAAAATAAAAGTCAAAATAAACAAAAATTTAAAATATTCTATGTGAATATGTTTAAATCAGCGCATGTATTACTTTGTTTCTATCAATAAATTGGATGACCAATTTTTTATAATATGAAAAAGATCATAAAATCATCATTAATGTAACTTTAAGATCCTGTGTCAATAAATTAAATGACCGTTTTGAGAAATAAAGTTAAAAAAAAAACAAAAATGAGGAAAAATATTGTCCTTTGAACATACAATTGGATAGACAGCCTAATTATTCATACTTTAATCTATTTAATACATTATCTCAGTTGACTTTTTTCTGTCATCGCGATCATTTTAGTTTAAAAATCTTAAATGGATACTTTAAAAAAAGCAAAAAAGGAATTTCAAAAGCGTTTGGTGCTGCCAATAGTAGATTCTTTAAACAAAAAATCTCTTCCTATAGTTACCAATGAAAAGTAAGTACTTAAAAATAAGAGTAAAAGTTGATTGTTGTCTTTCGTCAGGGGCAATTCTTTCTATTTCTTTGCTTGTTATAAGTGATGTGTAAGGAAAGATAAAAATAGAAGATCAATTTTTGAGCGAAAATAAAACAAAATCAACAATAACGAATATAACATTGTTAACTTGCATTAATATAAGATGATGAAGTATTTAGAATCTATAAAAAAGATGAATCATATAAATTTTAAACGAAACACAAATGAATAAATAATCTCTAGGGTTTAAAATATTTCAGCTCAAATAATTTTACAATAATCGCTGCATTATCAAATTTAAATCTGTATGACACAAAACAGAATATAAAAACAAAAGAAGAAAATTTTGAATCTTGCCATGATCTATTACTTAATGGATACAATAATAAATTACAAAAACAAATTCCGTTCAATCTAAGTCGAGTTGATCAATTTGTAAGTTTGATTTGCAAAATTAAAAATTTTAAAAATGTTCTTATATTAAATCCGAATAAATCCTATATTTACAGAAAATTGAAATTTATAAAGATGTTACATATCTTTTAAAACTGTACGGAATCACTAATGATGACAGTAGAAATAACAAAAAGCGTAATAAAAGGATTGAATCTTCAAATGATAATAATATTATGTCGTCGTATGTAAATGATGTATTTTGCCAAATATTGGATATTAATAATATTAATTGCAATGATCCAGGCAAAATATATAATAAAATTCGAGAAGATTTCTCTGCAAAATTTGCCCTTGAGATCTATGCTGCACTTATACAAATTTTAGTGAGACATGAAACTTCATCATCTTGCTTTTATCAATGGTCCGAAAAGTTTAGTTCTGAAGCAGAAACAATTTTAACACTTTATGCTGAATACCAATCTATTAGTGAACCTTACATATCATACGCAAAATGGATAGCATATACAGAAATCAATGAGTATGCTGTGTTAAATCATGGTCTATTTGAAAATATTCTTGATAATTTGATTTATAAACCCAAAAATCATTTGAAGAACAAAACTGCTAAGAAACTGAAATCAAAAATTCTAAAACAATTTAAAAATAAACCTTGTTCAAAAAAGTCGCAAGATTTATGCTTACATGTTCTTAAATTACCACAAAACTTTGCTAAAGAAGACGAAAAGAATTCTTATGAAATCAGCAAAGAAGCAAACCAAAATGAAGAAATTCTAACAATTTTCTGGGATTCAACTAAAGTTTTAATAAAAAGCTTTCTAAATTTCGTTCACGAACTTCATCTTACTTCAGCAGACGGAAACTCAAATAAAAATGTGGAAATTTTAGAGAAATTTTTCCTTATAATGAAAAGGCTTTTTAAAATACATCCAAATCAATTAAAAGAAATTGATTTCGAGAGTAATTTGAAAGAAGCTTTGACTGATGGAACTGTTGATTATTTTATTCAAAACATTAATCATAAATTATTAGCACAAGTGAATAAAACTATTGAGAGAATAAGCGAACTGGTTAATATATTGAAAAAATCAGTGGATTATATTATCAAATTTGATGACAAATTCGGCTTCACGTTTAAATTGTAAGTTGATATTTTAAGCATTTATTTTAAAATATTAGTGATTAAAGTTCATACCAAAATATTGTTCACCAAAGAAACTCAAACAAATGTTAAAAGAATTCATCATAAGTTTGACAAGACTTCGAAAATTGAAATTAGTTTATCGAGATTGTAAAAAATATTACATCATTAAACTTATTACATTTTTGAACTAAACTAATTAAACAGGATTTTTTTCTTTTATAATTCATTTGTTACTGATAATGTAAAGTGGATTATGGAAGGACTTACTTTCATTTTCAACCTTCTTATTTTAAAAGTATCCTTAGCTTTGGACATGATGTATCTTATTAATAATCCGTTATTTTTCATTTTTAAGATGCTACAATTTGTTCATACCTGAAATATTATTCCATGCATACGACTCACATCTTGTTAATCTAATTCATCCAGTAATATCAGATACTTATAATATGTTTGAAGATGAATTTAAAATACAAAATAATGAAGAATTGTTATCAAAAGTTTTGGAACTCTATCATGAGATTAGCAATTACCTGAAGAAATCAAGAGATATTTATCAAGTACATAACCTTAAATTACTCGACTACAGTCAAGATTGGTTTTTAGCAGGTTTCGATACATGGCGTGAAGCTTCGAACATGAAAGTCATATTTCGGTAATAATGTTAAATTTTAATTCAAAGTGTGTAAAATAATTAAGTTTTCTATTAATCTTAGAATTAAAACATCCATTGATGTTGATAAATTAAAGCCGGAATTCGACAACACTCCATATTCATCCTCTGCAATTGACACTATTCAAATACTTTATTCGACGAAAACATTTTGGGAAAACTTGGAGTTATTAGATAAAAGAGTAACATTTTTGAAGGAAGTAGCTTATGATCTGTGCTGTTCAGTTGTCTTGTACATCGAGAAATTTGTTGAAAAAATTATAAATTCAAGTGAAAATGAAAAAAATATCCATAAATTACCAGCTATCTTACGACTAGTCACTTCAAATCAGAATTTTGTATTGGAAAATTTCAAAAATTTAATTAAAGAATTTTGTTGTGTTGCTAAATTTGACGAGGAAGAAACTCAAAGGCATATCAAGAAAATAGAATTATCAATAAATGAAGAAATTTCTGATTATTTTGCTATTGAAATGAAAAAGTTTTGTCCATTAATAAAACAAGCTGTGATTCCAAATTGTCCTGATGAACAAGAAAAAATACAAGAGATTGAAAATATAATCATTATTATGCAAAGTGACTTATCAGCATCAAATTTTCAAGAGATTGAACAAATTTTATGGAATAGGATTTTAGAAACATTTTCAGAAATTATTCAGAAATCAATAAATGAAAAAATGGTTCCAGAAATTTTCTCTAATCTCTTAAAAACTTTCAAGAAACTAAACCAAATAATTAGTTCTAAAAATGATATAAAGCTTCAAGAAAGAATTGATCAAACTTTATACAAATTACAGTGCTATGGACAAGAAACAGATGAATTAATTCTTCAGTATTACAAAGATCGATATAAAATTCAGAAAGATATTAGTAATGAGTCACCAATTCAAAATAGTTTTCTAACCATTTACTGCTGCTTTATCGACGACACAATAAAGATAGAAATTTTAAATGCAAGAAATCTACCTACGAATGAATTGAACAAAAAATGTGATTCCTATGTCAAAGTTCAATTTGTTCCGCAACAAAAGTTTCCACATTTTCAAAGTTTCAAAACAAAGGTTCAGCACAACACAATTTTTCCATTATATGATGAAACCTTCCAAAAACCTTTAACAAAAGAACAACGAAATTTGAAGAATGCAATTGTATACTTTGCTATTAAAGAAAAGAGTCTAATTGCAAGTGATGTACGTTTAGCTGAAGCATTTTTATCATTTGAAGATATTCCACAAGTAACAAGCTATGAAAAACTGCAACAAACTCGTTTAACATTGACAAAATTAAGAAATTATGGTAAATTTTAACTTTTTAATAACCTTAATAAAACTTAATATGAAATATAAATTTAGATATCGAGTCACTGAAAGCAATTCAATATAGAAGTCAAATGGGAGATGTGCAAGCTATGGAATTTTTAGCCAAAATAGGCATACTTCCAAGAGCATCCATAAAGATCAAACAAATTTATTTAAATATCAAGGATCTAAACATCAGATTGAGTCCTAATCATTAACAAATATTTTTGAAAAGTCTGTAATCTATGAAATAGTCAAATTAGAATTAATGGGCTTTTGGATGGTTCTGTGAGTTTGATTCTTTATCAATTTAAAATTTAATTACTTTCTTTTCTAGTTTGCTGAAAAAGTTGAAAAAAAGTAACAAGTGACTCACACATTTTACATACGAGGTCCTAATCTCTTCAACTCAGTGCCACAAGACATTAAGAAATTTAATTCAATAAGCATTTTCAAAAACCGTATTAGGAAACATTTTTTCGAAATTTATTGTAATGCAAATAATATTAGTAATTAAAAAACTTTACAAATTAAAATTATAAATATTCATAGCACAATTGAAAAATGAAATATGAATCAATAAAACTAAAAATTTATCCTTTATAACATTTTTATTTAAATATTAATCCTTAAAGAAATAAAAATAAATAACTTTTAAATATAAATGCATTTTTACACCTGCGTTTTTATCATCTCCAGAAATTTTTTCGCTTCCTTGTTTCCTTTCTCACTTTCTTTACGAATCGGCTCTAATGATTTTAGATCTTTTAAAATAAAAAAAACAATTGTACATCAAACTCAATATTTTCTAAATTAAACATAAGTAATTACCTTCTTTTGGTAAATTGTTTATCATTAAATGAATATTTTCAATACTCATTTTGAAATTGTTGATTGGAATGTGTTCGAAAGAAAGAAAAGCTTCACCCAATAAAATTCTAGCTCGGACGAGGCTCTTATTTTCAATTCTAAAATATATAATAGCATCTTTCATGTTACGTTGGTCTTGTGTTAATTGGATCTTAATTGGTTCATACGAAATTTGAAACAGTTTTAACTTAAAATTTTGATGATTTGGAAAATGCTTTTCTGGAATTATTTTTATAGTGATCAGTGGATCATATTTTTTATTACACTCGAAGATCTCGTTCTTGCTAATAATTTTTAATGTAAGGACTGTGTCACTAAAGAACGAGTTAATAGTCAGACTGTTTGCGACATTTTGTTTGATACCTTGTTGCACAATAAATCGTTCTTTGTAATATTCATGGATAAGTCGGGCCAAGCTATGTCTGTAGCATTCTAAATAATAATCTAATGTTTTAATCTTTTTAGTAATTTCTGGTGGAATATCTGCACCATAAAAAACTTCTTTCAACTTTGAAAAAACTATTCTTAGTCTCGAATAGAATAGAGGGGGATGGTTTGCATCCTTTATCATATCATATGTTATCTCATATATTCCATCCCATAACTTGTTTTTCAATATTTCATATTCACGATATGCATTTTCTGGCACAACTTTTAGACATTTTTCAATAAACTCTACTGATTCACTTCTTATTTCCATAATTTTATCGTCACTTGCGGCACTGTCATTAATTTTTGTGTCTATTATTATATTGTCTCTAATGCTTGTGTAATATTTTTTAGTCACTGCTATGATTAGCTGTTTAATCGCTGTTTCCATATATTCAACCGTATACGAAATGATATTTTGTGCATTACTCACAGCATGTTCAGTGTCTTTTGTTAAATCTATTTGTAAATGAATTATTTTTTCTAAAATGTGATTGTAATTTGCCAAAACTACTGACAAATTTGAAGTCATTCTATCGAAATCATTTACATCAAATGAACTTTCAACTTTCTTGACAAACTGTTGAAAATATTTGGTAGTAAATCGGTAAATGTCCCCTAAAATAAATTTAATGTAATCTTCTTCAGAACCAGCTTTTTGTAAGTATTCCCAAAACGTTTTTATGTCATCAAGAAGCTCCAATAAATCCATAGCTGATGAGGAAAATTTATTTTCTTCATTATCTGGTCTTAAAGTATCCGCTTCAATTGCTCTTTCTAGTCGAGGGAGTACACTGAACACGGAAAGTTTTCTCCATTTCGATATTTTTGCTAAAAACCAAGAATAATATTCACTCATATCATAGTCACATTTCGTATATTTTTCCACACCAAAATCAGCATATTTTTTTAATTCACAATAAAGTATGAAAAGCTTTCCAGCTACAACTTCATGAACGGAAGCAAAATTATCAATATTTCCCTCTTTTGTATCGCAAATGCTTAGAACTATCGGTTTTATGATCACTGTCAATTCTGAGTCATAAATTCTGTATATATATTCTAGAAAATCAATCTTTAAGTACCTAATTAGAAATAAAGTTATAGACATTAAACTTAAATGATCTATAATAATTCAACTTACGATTCTAAAATCTCACCAAACTGAAGAGTAAATTGAACGAGATGCCTTTGTGAAAGATTCATCAAACTAATCAATTCATCAATTCGTAAATCATTTCTATTTCCATGCTTTAATAAATTTTGATTAGCATGTCTAGTAAGGTGCTCAATCGCACCTCTATGCAATGATTCTTTTACGTATTCTTTGAACATAATCGGTTGTTTATCAACTGTCACATTAATACTATCAATTTTGTCAAAAATATGAAATATTTCTTCAAGAATCTCCACTTGATTAACTTTTCCATCATCAAAAGACTCAAAATGAAGGTTACTAATAAATTTTGAGAAAATCTCAACCAACTTTTCTGTAGATCTCCAAAAATCTTTTACAACTTCAGCTTCCACATACTTCAATTGACTTTTACCAATATTTACAGCATCAGTCTCTGTGATTTCACTCTTAATATTTTTCGAATATCCAAATGAAACAAGGTTTATTAAGTCTGAGAATAGATTCGAATTCTTTCTGAATCCAAATTTAGTCTGCCTTACTCTTAAATTCAAATCATCAGGTTCTTGCAATGCTTCTTCTGTTAAACTGTTCAACAATTCCGAAAATGTTATCAAGTTCAATGGATAAATATGATGAATGTCTGTGTATGCTATCCATTTAGCATAGAGTATGTGAGTTTCATCAAGATTTCGAGCTTTTGCATGAAGCGACAGAAGTTTTTGAACCATGTTACAAAATTCGCCGCTCCAATGATTATGCTGAATATTAAGATACTGCAAGTCATATCGCAAGAATATTTGCAAAAGAGCAATATGGACATCAATATTTTCAATGTTAACTTTCTCTGGAAGAAGATAAAATTTTGACTCTGTCGATGAGCATTCATCTTGCACAACTGTGTCTTTATTTTCAGAAAGTTGATGTTCTACTTTTTCCAAAATTTCATTGTGGTTTTCTTCAGATATCCAAAATGCATCTTTCAAGTGTTTCAATTTATACGATCTTTCAGATAAGTTAAGTTCATCTTGGTATATTAAAAGAAGCATTTCCTCGTAAATTTCTGATTTCTGCGAATAACAACAAGTTATAAATAAACTCGAAAATACAAACAAGATATATTACATACAAATTTATCTACGCGTTGAAGTTCACACTCGACCGGCTCTTGATTCATACTTTTGTTATCATTTTGAATGTTTTCTTCTTTCTTTGATAATTCCTTTGCATTGCTGTTTTAATCATTTCAAAATATAACTTATCAAATTTATAACAAAAATCATTAGATTAGAAAATTTCATTTCTCTCAAGATTGTTGTAAGTGTTGGTTACTAAAATATCTCATACTTCACAAAAAAATAAAATGTGAGTGTATAATTTGTTAAAAAATAAAAAATCGCGAGAGTTAGTCGAGATCTGTGTAGATATTTGAAGGCCAAGTAGAGAATTTTTCTTGTGTATCTCTCAAAAATTTCAAAATAATAATAAAAGAATTATACAAACTTTTTATCTCTCTTTCTTTTCTTTTTAAAAGCCGGCAAAAGTGAACTTAATTTTTTAAAAGGAATATCTTCTGGATAATCATTATTTTCCTCAGATAAGCTCATTAGAAAATCGTCAAAAAAATAATTTTTATAAGAGAATTTTAGATATTTATTTTTGACTCCGATCACGATCACACACTGATGTCAACTGAAAAGAATATCATACATTTTTTACTGAGTGGAGAAAAATTTAGAGCTTACGTCATACATTTGCTATAGAAGATACCAATTTGAAGTTTAAGAAATTAAAACTCATTAAATTCTTGTTAAAACTTTTGATTTCCTATTTAAATAATAGGAGAGCCACTAAAGGAGCAAATAAACTGAGTATTTTCATGACAATAAAACCAGAATTTTTTTTTAAAAAAAATATATATAACAGATTTAAAAGTTATGGGATTTTTTAAAATATGACTAATTCAACTTATGATTAATTGTTTACATAAATCAATACTACAGTTCGTTTTTATTTAATTAATTGTAATGCTTTTCTATTCCATAACTTTCAAATATCCATATCGATTTATAAAAATAAAGTTTAGCTGTTAAAACTTTAGATCCATAGCTGCACTTTAGGTAAGACAAACCTTCGGCTAAAGCCTAGAGCTACAGTTTATAGAGGAATTTGAAACACTTAATCTTTGACCCTTCAGCTTATAGCCTACGAATGAAGGTTGTGAGCCTAATTTCTAGTACATATATTTCGAAAAAGGACGTATAAAAATTATACCCTTGCCGAGTCTCGAACACGTGATCGCTTTGTCGGTATTTCAATAATTTCGTACCCAAGAACTTAACCCTTCCGCCACTAAGCAAGGCTCCCGCAGATTATAATCTTTAAATAATAACATACAAAGATTAAAATCTATCATTGAAAAAGTAAAATCATCAGTAAATACACTTATGGAATTTTTTAAAAAAGAACATTCTAAAAAAAGTTGCGAATATTATTTTAAGTATGAATCACACCTTTATATGTTTTATTTATCATGGATACAAATTGACATTAACAAATAATTTTTATTTCGTCATGAATTCGCACATTTGCAAACGCTTAGTATCTTCATATGATGGCTCTAAAATATTTCTTATTGAAATTAATGACGTTGAAAAAAAGTAATAGCGTAAATTCGAATAAAACACCAAAAATATTCTTTTTCAGTTTTGAATTTTCAAGTTTTGTGACGTAAGTATATTATTCCATTTTCGCTAATCTTTTGGTGTTGGTATTTTTTTGTCATTTATAATTACGCTGCGAAGAAGTAAAGTTTAAAATCTACAAACGTGTGGACAGTTTCAAAATTAAAAAAATATCAAAATAAGGATTTCTTTTATGTTATTTTGAAAAATTATTAAACTAGGGTATAAGTTCATTTAAGGTTGAAAGAGAATAATTTTTTTAATGTTTTCTTATCATTACTATTTATTGGTGCCAATTTATAATCTTTCAACAAATTAAATCTTTGTCTGGTGCTTGTGTATTTGCAAATTATAATAAAATGAATAAACACAGCATATGCAATTTTCAGTTAAATTTTTCAATCCTCATTCCAAAACAAAACTAAAACAAATGTCAAAATTTTCATAAATAATAATGAGAAAATATTTTAATATATTCCACAAACAGATTTAACTTCGCAAATGTTTAGACACAGTAAAGAACATATGAATATTAAATCATTTGAAGCAATGAAATCGGCGTCTGCTCAACCACAAAAAGAGCAATCGCTCACAAGTAATATCACTATAAAATCAAAACGATTGCCTCAAATCGAAATTTTTGAAACAAGTGAAAACACAAATAAAAATCCAATTTTGACTAAGAACATCAGAAATGTAAGTTAAAATAACTTTTAATGATCAAACATTTTTTAGATGAGCAATTTTTTAAAGATAAATGAATTTTATGAGGACATCTTGAAACTCCTATTAGAAACTGATATGAATTATCAGCAACTTTTAAATCATATTGAAATCAATGAGATAGATTTGAATTATTTAAGAGATGCATTTCAAGTTGGCGAATATAGTCATAAGAAATTGATGGATAAAATTAAAAAGAAGTCATCATTAGAAACAAAGTATGAAGAAAATGACACGAAGCATGTAAAAACTACAGAATGGTATCCTATTTTAAAAATTGAGACTATAGATATATTCCAAGCTCACGTTGACCTACTTAAAACATTTTTAAAACATGAAATTATGATTTCAAAACTTCCAAACTATCACTGGATTGAAAATTTTAATTCATCAGCTTTGAAAATTTTGTCATGTCATGCAAATTCAACAAATCTCGAAGAGTCGTACATATCACTAGCAAAATGGATAGCCTTTATCGAAATTCATCAAAATTATCCAACAAACCTCGAAAACTTTCACATTTTACTTGAAAATATCATCGACACTCAACAGTATGAGAAAGAATCATCATTACAATGTTCTCATAGATTGTCATTTACAAAACTATTTAAATTTTTCGACAACAGTAAAAATGGAGTTTTAGAATCAGTAATAAAAGAAGGTCAGCATGAAATTCATTTAAAAGTTAAAGAAGAGGAAATAATCAAACTTTTTTGGATTTCAACAAGCCAATTAAAAGATTCATTTCTAAACTTCATCTTTGAACTTCAATCAAATCAATCGGACAAGGAGGATATTAAGAACATTTTGAGGAACATATTCGAAATTGTTGAAAAAATCAATAAAGTCACCACTCCTATAGATAAAGAAGAAATAAGTTTCCAAGAACGTATGAAAAAGTCACTTACTAATGGAATTATTGAACATTTCATGAAAAATGTCAACCAGAAATTGTTAAAACAAGCGAAGCACAATGAACAAAAATTAAATCAATTGATAAAACTGATTCAATTTGTACAAAAGAACTTCAAACAATTTATTGAAGATTTTGGTCAAATATTTGCATCGTAGGTTGACACAAAACTAAGTTAAAATTTCAATTTATTCATTTTATCTTTTTAGTTATTTCAATACTTCTCTATTGGAATTACTTTACTATACTTATGATTCACAACTTGCAAATGTCATCAAGCCAATCGTAGTAGAAATAAATAAGACTAGAGATGGAAATATTGAATACTTTTTAAAAAGTTCAGAAGCAGTTTCCACAAAACTTTTTCAACTTTATTGTGAACTGAAGAAATTTTCTGATTATGGAATGGAAATTTCTGGAAACCGTGAATTTAAAACGAAAGAATACTTTTCATGGTTTTCACATGGAGTTGAAACAAGAAGTAATTCATTCACTTTGTTTGGAGCCAAAATAAGGTGGGTGTTAAATTTAATTGTTTGTTTTAACTTCATTATTGAGATTTTTTTTTCTTCTCAGAATTGAAAAGGCTTTAAATGCTGACAGCTTAAAGTCACCGAGCGACAATATAAAACATTCCAAATCAGCACAAGAGGTTTCAAAAATTCTAAATTCAGTTAATGATTTCTGGGAAAATCTTGATGATAAGTTTTATGAAAATAAAGAAACAGAACTAGCCAAACTTGTCTCGGGAGATGTTTGTCGATTTTCGATTATATATTTTGAAAAAATGGTCAAAAAGATGCAATCGTCCAAGTTCACACTCGTTTATGTTAATTCTTTTAAGATACCATCAGAACTATCAACCATTATAGCAAACATCAGTTTTGTTTGGGATGAGGTGCATATTATAATTGGACAACTGATAAAGAAAAATTCAATAAAATCCTGCAGTGTAAAAAAAATTCTTCAAAATACCTTAAAATATGTGAAAGAACTAACTCAAACATTACTGTGCTCCACATTGGAAAAATGTGTTCCATCAATAAAAAAATTAATGATTGAAAGTGCTGAGGATTATAACTCTAGTGAGAGTGAATTTGATAAATTAACACTTTATATAGAAAGTACAATTTTATCTTTAAAAAATTATCTACCAAATCGTGAATTTGAGACAGCTAAAGGAATATTGTGGGAAAAAGTATTGGAAATAATAACGGAAGTAATTGAAAAGTTAAGTCACAGCATGTCACCAAAATTCTTTTCAAATCTTAATAAAATTTTTGCAAAGCTGAAGCTAATATTTAAATTTTCACCAAATGAAATAGAAATCACGATTAAAGTAGAATCAATTGATGATCTTTTAGAATATTACGGACTTAATACTTCACGATTGATTCATGAATATTATAAAACCCGTTATGAAATGCAAAAGCAAATTGAAGGTCCTTATATACATCTTTATGGAACTCTATCCATAAACTGCTATTTTTCTGGGAATAAATTATCCTTAAAAATTCTCAATACTAAAGACATATTACCAAATAAGAAACATGAATTAACAGCAACTGTGAACTTTATTCCTGAAAAAAGTTTTCAAGCATACCAGCATCTAAAAGTAAAAGTTCAAGAAAAACTTGAATTTAAAATGACACAGGAACAAAGAAGCATGAGTGATGCAATTATTTTCTTTTATGTAGAAGAAAAAGTACTTTTTGGAAATAAAGAATGCCTCGGTGAAGCTTTTCTTGCCTTTAAAGATATTCCTCAATGCAACGACAATCAAACGAGTCATAAAATCAATTTGACTTTTACTAGAATCCATGGAGAAGGTAAGCCATTGAATTAATTCATTTATTAAAAGTTGAAGCATCGGAACTGATGAATTTCTAACGTTTATATGTAATTCTGGTTTAATTATGGTTTAAATTTAGCATAACTTTTAAAACATCCATACTTGTCATAAAAAGAAAATTATAAATTAAAGCTGCTTACAAAAGTCCGTTTATTTTCAGAAATTGAGTCATTGATGGAAATTCAAAAGAGAAGTCAAAAAGGCGAAAAGGAAGCAAAGGATTTTCTTACCAAACTAAAACCCAAAATGTTAGCTTCGTCGAGAAAGTCAAAAAATCTTGTGACTGAATTGTAATTTAAATGTAATAAAGATATAATGAATATACAAAATAAAGAAGTAATTCTACCCAATTCCTTAATTGTATTCCTTGTGACTAGAGTTTAAATAATCAATTAAATTATATGTTCAATCAATACGTTGTTTTCTCATTGAAAACGCTTGATCGTCAAATACATTTTCTATTCATATACAATTTGTATAGAGCTTTAATTATATCAAATTTGTATTTTAATTAAAGGTCCCTTCACTTATTGTAAAACCAATTAAGTTGAGTCACCTTTTTAAGCTACCGTGAAAATTACTCATGAATTTACTTTGCTTGTTTTCAACGCATGCCAGTCAAGGATGAAATGATTTGAAAATTTGAATGAATTAAAATGTTCATCACCTTACAACAATTTTCTAGAACTTATTTGGGCTCGTTCACTTATTACGTAACGCAAAAAACGAGTTTTTAGACCCCCCCTCCCCCCCCTGTAACAAAGCGTAACAAAATCTTAGACCCCCCTCCCCCCCCATAACGTAACAATAATTTTTTTCATTTAAATTGTTTATCAAATGTTTATTATACTTCCTTTAAAATTTTAATTTAATATAGAAAAAAATATAAAAAAATATATTTTTTGAAAAGTTACGTAACAAAATTTAGACCCCCCCCCTCCCCCTGTAACAAACCGTAACAAAATCTTAGACCCCCCCTCCCCCCCTAGTGCGTTACGTAATAAGTGAACGAACCCTTTGCATGGTGACGTTTTACATTGATACAAATAAAAAATTCTTTGAAACAGATCTGACGTTAAAAGATCCCCGAAAACTCTCAATACAAAGATTGCACAATCATAGAAATTCATTTGCAGATATGAAAAATTAAAGATCATAAGTTCACTTTCAGAAATGTAAATATTTAAGTCATGTGTAAACAATTTTGGTATTCCCCCAATTAAGAACGTAGTGAGAGAGAATAATAAAAACAACTAATTTATTAGGGAAAAGCACAATGTTTATGTATTCACACCGTCCCATATTAAAAATCAAAAAAATATGTAACCAATAAAAAATCAATTGAAGTATGAATCATGATCTCAGCTGTTCAAATATTAGGAAGCAATAAAATATTTGATATAAAATCTTCTTGCTATTCTGCTATATATTTTCTGTTTCCTCTCTGTTTCTGATGTTTGTTATAAAAAAATATTTTTTGAAAAATTATTTTTTATATATTTGTGAAAATCAATTTATGTTAAACCCAATCAGTAGTTGACTAGTGGCGATAGAATCAAGTTGTGCAAAATAATTCTGGCAATTTTTTTTTGTGCATGCTTGGAATCTTCATGTAAGTTCATTTGCAATTAAATTAAGAAAATAACCTATAAAAATATACATATTTAGCACTTTTTTGTAGCTACTCTCATGCCTCAGCAATTACATTGCGAGTTCACTTTAAATGACAAACATGAGTCTGAAGTTATAATCTAAATTTCGTTTCTTTCGTCCGAATATTTATAAATCCAAGATAGTATCCTTTTAAAATTCTGGTCTTTTGAATCAATTTTATTCAACAAGTCTAAACATCACGGACAAACATAAACAATATGATAAATGGTGTGAATATGAAAAAAGAAATCCACAAATGGTCGTTTGCATGGAGATGTTTATGAGTGTGTGTGTGTGTTACAGGGGCGTAGCCAGGGGGGGGCCATAGGGGGCCCGGGCCCCCCCTACGAAAATCTGATAATTGTTTTATTAAGTATTTATAGAGAAGAACCAGTTAATGTAGAGAAAGTGATGAAAGAAATGTCAAAATCAGCACGAAAAATTAAATTTAATGTATGAATAATGAATTAAATACTTAAACTTATGAACAATGAATATAGATTTAAGGATACAAAATAACGGGTTTTTTAATTTTCGCAAATGGGCCCCCCCCTTAAAAATTTTCTGGCTACGCCCCTGGTGTGTTATGCTCACCCTACTATAAATATTCTCTCTTCCATGATCGTGTGTTTATTTTTGTTATGAGTTCTCAATGAGAGAATATGCATATTATTAAGATCCACTCAATTTTTTGTTCAGTTTATGATTAAGTCTGATTCTTCAGTTCATATTCTCATACGATCGTGTTTAGTCATATTTGTGTAAGTTGAGACCAACCCACAACGCGTTCAGATAATAAGAATTGACATCTTTTTGTAACTTTTGGGATAATTTTTTTAACAAAACTGGAATGTAAAAAAATGAATACACTAAAAGGAAGCTGTGAGACATTATCAGACTTTCGTAAAAGAGGATTATCGCCAATATTTTCATCTTTACGACCAAAAAAAGAAAAAAAGAAAGAGCCAAAAAAGAAGTAGGTATTCATGATAGCATGAGAACGAAACAAAAATTTTAAATGCTCGTTCAAGGTCATTTACGTATACTCATGACTATTGACTTCACGTTTAAAGACAGAAAATAAGAAATAAAATTGTTGGTACACATTTTATATAATGTTAATCTATTGTGCTTTAAAAACTTGGATATCATTTCTTAAGCAAGTGCTAATATGAATTTATAATTCAATTCATCCTTCAGACCATCCAGTTCAAAATCAATATTTTCGACTCTAATGCTTGCAAACATTGAAGATCGTATGTATTTTGATCAAAGTGGATCTCTAGACTCATTATCATTTGAAGAACAGAAAAAGAAGATAAGAGCTAAGTTGGAACGCAAGAAACTTGAGAAACCCAAAATCATACCAGATGTAGTTATTTCTAGTCCAGAAGATATCCAGAATGAAGAGTTCGATGACGAAGATGAAAAAGTTGATGCTCCAAAACCAGTTTCTGCTATTGTGCTAAATGTAGATCCATTTGTGAGTATTTAAAATATTTCTGTACATTTTCATGGTAATTTGAGTTTTTAATTCCAGATTTATGAGATATATGAAGATGTTCTTTATAATATTTTGCATCAATTAAATCATGATGCCAGTAGCAATAAACTTGGTGATGATTATGAAGATGAAAATGATCAACCGCCGATTGAAAGTGATTCAGCATTCTCATATGTAAGAGATGCATTCGGAATTAGTATATCTAAACACGATGAATCACTGGACAGAGTTAAAGCAAAACCAGCACCAGAGACAAACGTAAATCAAGAAGAAAATGATTCTAAAGCAAATAAGCAAAGCTTTTGTTTACTCTCGCCTAAAATAAAGAACTTTGAATATATTGAAGCGCATTGTGCACTATTGCAAATCTTATTAAAACATGAACTAGAAACATCAAAAATCCCACCATTTTTCTGGTCAGGAAAATTTAATTATTTGGCTACAAAAGTATTATCCATCCATGCTGAATTTCGATTTATTGATGAACCTTACACTTCATTTGCAAGATGGGCAGCTTACTCAGAAATACATAGGCATCATCCATTGAGTTTGCAAATATTCAACAAATTACTTGATAACATTATCGATGTTTATAAAGATGAATTTGAATCGACAGCCTTAGCGGTTCCGAAAATGTCATTTATCCCAGCTTGTTTTGGATTTATTGGAAATATCACAACTGGTGTTCCTGAAATAGAAGCACAAAATCGATGTAGTGATCAACTGAAAACAAAGGACGATGAAGTTGTCAAACTTTTTTGGAATTCAACTTATAAGCTGCAAGATGCTTTCCTTGATTTTATCCATAATCTTCATTATAAAGCAGATGAAGAAGAAAGTTTTATAAAAATTGTCGTTTTAAGGAACATCTTTGAGATTGTCAAGAGAATCGATAAAGTTTTTCTACCAAGAGACGTAGATGAACGAAGGTTCGTGGATTTAATGACAAAGTCTTTAACTGATGGAACTATTGAACATTTTATGAGAAATGTCAACCAAAAAATTCTAAAGCAAACCAAAAATAATGAGAAGAGATTAGAGGAGCTCATTCGAGTGATTAAATTTGTACAAGAACACTTTAAACAATTTGTTGAAGAATTTGGTCACGTCTTTCTCTCGTAAGTAGCTTAAATCCCGAGCGGCACAAAGGTGTCATATAACTGTCATATGACTGCCATATGTCAGCTGCCACGTGTCAATTGCCATCGTTTGATGGCAATAAAAACTGCTTTATGGCAGTCATATGACAGATAATTGCTATCGATGTTGACGATATGTCAACCAAATAGTATGATAAAGTAATCCATATGACTGCCATCAATAAAAATTGACACAAAACGGAAACTGTTATATGACAGTTTCTAGGCAGTTTTATGACAGGCACAGATGGCAGTTCTTTAATCAAATTTCAGTTAAATGGCAATTATATGGCAATGAGATGACAATTTTATGGCAATTTTAAATCAATATTAAGGGATTTAAAGTTTGTGTTTATTAAAGAACTCGTATAGGAAAAACAATGATGAAAAAAAAACAAATTAAATAAACTTTTTCGGCTTTTTCTGCCCCATCGTGCGTTGTGTATTCCTGTTTGTAAAGCATTTGATACTGCTCTTAATTCATCAAAAGTTCCTGAAGCACTTCAATTAATATATCTTGAAAAAGATTCGTTCCTGTATAATACTTTTGAATGCTTTAAAATAATATACAAACAATTTTTAAATATTTTGCTCACCTTCTACTAAAGTCCATCCTACTTATTAAGTCCTAACCGATATGAATTTCAAAGGTCAAAACAAAATGAACTTTTCACTTCAAAGTCACGATTTAAAATGAATTTTTTCATAACTTTTCAAAAAATATTGATAACTGTGATCAATTTTTTTCTCATGGCAGTCACATGACAGTCATATAACAGTTTTATAAAATTGTCATACAACTGCTACCAAATAACCGTCATATAACTGTTATCTGCCTTTTCAAAACGATCATATAACAGTCATATGACTGACACCTGCCACCTTGTGCCGCTCGGGAATTGTCCTCAAACTATAATAGCTTACAATGTTTTTCTTTCATCATTTCCTTTTCAAGTTTTTACGACATAAAATTTGCAGAACTTCTATACAAAGTTTACGACTCACAACTTGCATTTATAATCAAACCAATTGTTCTTGAAATCAGCAAGACAAAGGAAGGAAATATTGACAATTTCGCAAATGAAGAAGAAGAGGCTGTTGCTGTTCAACTTTTCAAACTTTATCGTGAATTAAAGAAATATTCCGATTATGGAATGGAAGCTTATGGCAATTATGAGTTTGAAACTAAGGATTACTCTAATTGGTTTTCAGCTGGAATTGATAAATGGTGTAAAGTTTCCGTATTTAGTGCCATGTCGAGGTGAAATATTGCTTAAAGTTATAAATTTAAATTATGTGACTGGAATTATTTGCTTTATGAAGAGATTGCTTGAAAATTGCACGTTCGATACAAATTCCTATTTGATTAATTTCTTAATTAAAACTTTTTGGTTTAGTTTCGTGTATAGCTTGATTTGAAATTCACTGCTGAATTTTTTAAATATTTTGCAAAATTTTATTTCCTTTACGTCAAACAATATTATGCTCTACAAAAATCAAATGATGTCCATAAAAATATAAATTTAATGTTTTTCTTTTTCTTTGCATTTTATTTCTTCTTTATTTCCAACAGAATCGAAAAATCAATCGATGTCGATAATTTGAAACCGGAATCGAAAGATGCAAAATATTCATCGTCAGCTATTGATACGATACAAATTTTGTATTCAGTAAAAGGATTTTGGGAAAATTTGCAATGGCCTGATACTGTTAAGGAAGCAGAAATTGCAAATCACATAGCTGGAGATTTGTGTAGATTTGCAACAATGTATTTCGATAAGTTTGGCGCTAAAGTTTTAAACACAGAGGCAATGAATAACACGGGTATTTTCAAAGTGCCATTGGAATTGGCGGTAGCTATAGCAAATTTCAATTACATATCAGATAAAATGCAAATTCTCATAGATGAATTGACAAAAGACAAGGAAACTGATAGAAGCAGCATACAGAAATTTTTAGGAAACGCTTTGAAATACTTGATGGACACAACATATAAATTGTTAAACAATACGATTAAAAAATCTGTTCCAACAATAAAAAAGTTAATGCTTGAAGGTGGTGAGGAATATAGTGCAATGGACGATGATATTGCAGACAGATTAATGACATACATTGAAGATATGCTCTTGACTCTACACGATGACTTACCAAATCGGGAGTTTGAGGTAGCAAAATCAATTTTATGGCAGGATATGCTAGCAATTCTAGCAGAATTAGTTCAAAGTTCAATAGGTGAAAGAATGTCGCCTGAATTTTTCACAAATCTACGAAGAATATTTACAATTTTAAAGCAAATATTCAAATACTCAGAGGAATTGGCAAACGATGACGTACTCAACAAAAAAATAGAACGCATTGATTATTTGCTAGAGTGCTATGGACTTAATACATCTCGACTTATTCATCAATACTATAAAGATCGCTATGACATGCAGCAACAAATTAACAAAACTCCATTCAATCCTTATGGAATTCTGACAGTTTTCTGCCATTTTACTGACAATATCCTTCGCATCGAAATTTTGAATGCGAGAAATCTCATTCCAATTGGACCGAATAGAAAATGTGATTCATTTGTTAAAGTTCACATCATTCCTGACAAATATTTTCCGACTTGTCAAAACTTTAAGACAAAAGTTCAACAGAACACTCATTTTCCATTATATGATGAAGTTTTTGAGTTTACGTTGACAAGGGAACAACGAATTATGAAGGATGCAATCATATACTTTAATATTAAGGATAAATATTTGATTGGAAGCAATGAATGTCTTGCTGAAGCATTTCTATCATTCAGTGATATCCCAGAGTTTGTTCATAAGGATAAAATGAAGCAAATACACTTGACACTGACAAGATTACAGAGTGATGGTAAACATACATCATGCTAATGTTTAAATCTATAGATTTAATTTTATTTACATGCATTTACAGAGCTTGAATCATTGAAAGCTATTCAACATAGAATTCAATTGGGAGACAAGGATGCGAAAGATTTTCTTGCAAAATTAAGATCAAGAACATTACTATCACCAAAGAAATTAAAAATTCCAGTGACACAGCTTTAAATTTAAGAAAAATAAGATGACTAATAGAGGTTTATAAAAAACGTACTAGTCTGTTGGCACTCCGTTTTTATTACATATCACATGTAAACAATCCCGTACCAATATAAAAATTTGAATATATGCATTAACGAATAATAAGGCACAGTATCAAGAATTTTCTTTTTACCGGAAACTCAATGAAAATTAGTCAGAATTAAGAATTCATTAATTTTCCTCACTTAAATTACTAGTTTTCACTGCTTAAGTGAGAAGCTTATAAAATAGCTACTTAAATCAGTATATTTGTATAAATATTTATGTAAATTTTTTGTTGCAGCTTAACATTGAAATGCGGTTACCGAATAAAATTTTCCAATCACTATTTTATTTTAGTCACGAGTATCAAATATTTTTGATGTGAAAATTGTAATTAAATTCTTATGAATCAATAAAAATCTAATGAAAATGCGATCTTTAAACAATTCAATAAAAAAGTGTTGATTCATATAAAATTTTCAAATAATGCTTATTCATTTGTTCCATGAACATAGTTTATTAATTATATTTTGTTTTGATAAACTTGTCATCAATTGAACTTTAAATTAACGATATTGCTTAAAATTTTAAACAGTTTTTCATACTTACTTACTTCTTTGACTAAGGCGCACGTGGGCCAATTGCCGCATTCAGAGTTTGTCTAAAACTGGCTCCTTATATAACATATGCCAGTTTCTAATTCCTAGTACATGTGCATCGTTTCTTACACATTCCATGAGTTCTTAGGTCTACCTAGAGATCTCTTACCATCCAAAAATTCAGCTGTTGCTACTTTCAGCACTGATGAGCTTTCTGGGTGTCTTAATAATTTTTCATGGGGTTAATTAATTCTTTTGATAAAACTATATAATGTAGTTTTGTTTCTATTTCAATATTTTCAATTTTTCATAAGTCAGTGACCCCTCAATTTGACATTCAGCAAATACTCAACTCTGTGATTTTAGTTTAGAACTTTTAATCATATAATAATTGCACGTAAAATTACGTGATTGAATAAATCTTGTCGTATAATTTCTCACGATGTATGTTAACATATTCAATTAAAGTTGACTCATCTGATGAAATTGTTTCCTGTGTTTTTGCTAGACTTAAAAAAAACAAAGGTGTAACACTCCATGAGAGATTAAATAAGATTCAATAGATTTAAAAATTGAAAAGGAATTTTTTAAATATGATAAGTTTTTCATCAAATGGATTTTCCAATGCATCATATCAATTTAGTTAAAAAATCACAAACTATTGCCTAAATGCGAGAATTAAGTCATATTAATTGAATTCTTCTTTATCAGTCTGATGAAAATTGAAATAAAAAAAGCTAAACGATTGAAAGCATTAGTAGAAATTTCCATCTGGGAGGTATTAATAGAGTAGTTATTTCCTATTTAATAAAAAAAATGTCTATAAAACTAGCTCAAACACATGACTTTGTGTAAACAAAAAAAAAGAGATCTAGCCCTTTGTGAATAATTATGGTTAAGGTCACTGGCACATGTTGAAGACTCAAGTTTTAAAGATTTTCAAAAAATAATGCAATAAAAAAAACGGTAAAAAAAATCAACACAATATATATGTTTATCATTTCACGCTCCTAGTGAAACAATAGTCTTGAGCTGTCACGGTTCCGCTCAATTTAAAATGAAGAAAATTTTCTTTCTCTAATTTAGAATAAATTAACATGTCGTAAGAATAAAAAGATGTGAAAGTAAAGCGAAAACTAATCATAACAATTTATAGGTCATTTACCTGCTATGAATTACTAATTTGATTTTCATTGATTTTTTTTCCAGTTTCATCTGCATCGACGACCGACCGAGTGAACACATAATCAAATTCATATGTGCATTTCCTAATGAAACAATAAAATTTAATTCCCCTACACAACTACAAATTTAGGTCTATTTTTTTCTATTCAACTCTTATGCATGTGCTTTGAACCTTTTGAATCATCGAAGCATGTCCATCTATACAATAACCACGTTGCTCACTATCCACTATAGAATAACTTTGTATGTGTGCAAATAAAAACAAAATAAAAGTTTATTTTTGTAAAGAAAATTTTTGTATCGTAATTAAAAAAACAAGTGAGTGTTTGAAAATGATGTGAACTTTATAGGAACCGCTTTGTTTAAGACATAGGTCAAAAAATTTGTATATATTTATCCGAACTAGCCATCACATCATAAACAAAAATATTGCGCTCATGCTTTTCATGGTTTTCCATCTTGTGTATAAATACACAGAACTTTTCAATACACCAAGAGCGGCATCAAGTGGCAGCAAATGTATTATGCTACAAATTCAACTCAGTTGTATGTTTCGCTGGCACGGGAGACGGTCGAAAAAATATAACAGAAATAAAAGAAAATAAACTAAAAGTTTAACTTATTGACTGAAAAAAGCATTACGCGGCAGTTTGTTCTCGCGTACAGGTCACAGGCGAAATTTATTAAAGAATCATTTTCTTAGAGAAAATAAGTCGTCGAGACACGATTAATAATTTCTTACAGCTCGTAATTTAAATCAATTGAGTATTCTAAGACATTAAGCATTAAATCATGAGTGAAGTTTTCGCGGAAATTTAATCTATTTGTGTGAATTTTAAATGATAAAATCATCAACGTGATATTCTTGGTGTAGTCTTAATTGATGAAATAAAAGTGGATCAGTTTTATATTTTTGGATAAGTCGGTCGGATGCTACACAAATTTTTGTCATTTATGATCAGGAATACTCTTAATTTGAAAGTTGGAAGTTAATTAATTAATTGCATCTTTAAGCTCATTTTAAAATCAACAATGGACTTTATAGAAAATCTGAATCATATGAACATTTTGTACACAAATCAAAGTGCATGCGCAGTTTTGAATATTATTAAAATAATCATAGCAACGAATTTGATATTTTTGTGAAATTTTAATTTATGTTGTTAACAGTTTGTTTTCTGTTCTGTTCTCAAAAATTATAAAATTTTCACCGGCAGAGTCTATTAATAGCATTATCTCTTCGTAAGTGTCATGATTTGATACATTTATTTTTTCAGACGTTTTTATAAAATCAAATCGACAAGTTGTGAAATAAAAAATTTCAGTAGGTTTTTATCAATACAAGAATAAAATTAGATTGTTGAGAAATAAAAATGTTTCTATTGAAAATTTGAAAATGCAAAAAATTTTCGGTGCAAAAAAGGAACGACGCAAAATTCAAAGTGATCGAAAATGGTGGCAATTTTTAAAGAAAACGAGAGTGAAGCCAGTGAGAGCTTTAGATATCCAGCATCATGTAAACTTCAATCAAAATCATTATAATAATAACAACAACAATAACAATCCAGAGTACTATGAGATGGAAAAATATGTGGATAGAGATAACAATCATTACAGGTACGATAAATTACCAGTTATTTTGTTTTTCGTGTTTCTAAATAAGAGAGGAAATCATCAGCCATAGCAAATTTATAAGACAATTTTCTTATGATTCATACGAAATTTACAGTTAAATTATATAAAAAAACACTTGATTTAAATCCATTCATTAGCTTCGTGATTAAATGAATTGATCCATGGTGTTTCATGCTGACAATTTACAAATTTTACTGCCAATTTTTCACAGTTTTACTTTTAATGATCTATGAGACAACTTTAATTTACTGTCCTCTGCCCGACCTTATTTTATTGATTTTCCATAGTTACTTAATTTTGTGTTCAGAAGCGCTTTTCTTATTTTCTATTTTTTCTTCTTATACATGATGTTCATGATTGTTGTAAAAATGTAAAATCGATGAAATGACAATATGATTTTATGGCTGAAACTTTGAAATAGTAATGCAACTTTTTTTGACGGTTACATTTTTGAAAATCAAACAAAAAAATAAATTAGATTAAAACCTAGGTTGTTGATTGGCATGAAATGTCATTAGGGCTTGTCCACTAATAACGTTATCTACAAAAAATTAAGTCATTTGGCAACATGGTGCAATTTGTTCTTAAAAATTGTTGATAATTATTTTTATTATTAACATCACAAGACATCTAATAGAAACATTCTTTAATCCAAGAATTAAATAAACTTAGTGAAAATTTGTTCTTAATTATCTGCTCGAGAGAATTGTTCAATACTAGCCCTTTAATCAGGGTGGGGAGATTTTTTGCGATTTAAATCAAAATCTCAGAGTTTATTTTTGATTTTGATTTAAATCTCAATGAAAAATGATTTTAAAGAGGGATTTTGATTTAAATCATTTTTGTATGGGGATTTTTTTTTTTTTGGGGGATTTTGATTTTAATCTCTTGTATCTTATAGTTCTAGCATAGATCTATAGAAAAAAGTCCAAAAAATAAAAGTGGAATGACCTTTGTGCCTAGTAGTGGCAGTCAAAGTATGACATATTGAACCTAGCATATCTGTTCTCCCAGCTGCTAATGAGCTTTAATTTCATTTTAAATGCATCAACACTACTTTAATCTATCAACAATACCGAAATTATAGCATATGCTTAAGATTTACAATAGTTCTAAGCAAAAATGTCAAGCATAGGTTTCCAGATTCGGTAAAATTTGATACAGTTTTTAAAACTTTGATGATATTTACTAGAAATTACTTGGAAATTACATATTTATGTGATTTATTATACACCATTGGAAAGCTTTTTAAGTGAACTATATGAAAATTGCAGTGTTTTGATTTTAACTAGTTAAAGTAGCTTTATTGAGCATTTAATGGTTTCATAACATCACATATCACTTTTTGCCTAAATTTTCAACAAAATTGTGTTTTTAATTAAAAATTTTTGTTGTGGATGTTAAGTTCATTGCTTTTTGAATAAAACCTGAAAATTTCAGTTCCTTTCATTAAGACTGGTATGTGAAAATTCATTTTGAATTTTGAGATACCTCACTAAACCAACTTCAGGCTCATATTTTGAAGCTTTCCGGCAAGTGATTCTTTTTTCTTATTGCATTAATTGATAGAACATACTAGGGTCTACAAATTAATGAAATAAAATTTGGGAGCCGGACATGGACAGTGGATCACAATAATTGAGAATATAGCAAAAAAAATGCAAATTTTTGACTTCAAAGTTAATTTTCACTACTCAAACTACATAAAATCTGTAGATTATGCATGTGATGTTTGTAGATATCAATGATTTCTACAAAATACTGCAATCTGAAAATATTTAGAAAGCCTGATATAGTCATGAGGTCCAAAAAATGACAAAAAACCTAGCTTTTAGGAACCAATATGCACAAAAAGTATATCATGTGGATATTCATAAAAAAGTTCTCATTTGTATCTATCAAATAAAAAAAATTTGAAGACAAACGGATAAGTAGGTGAAGCACAATAGCATTTTAAAAATTACGTGAAGTACAAAAATTCAAACCCTCTTTTCTCGTGGACCAGGCACTTCCGGGGAAAAAAATTATTTTTCCCATAAATCAGGGACTAATACCTACAACATAAGCATATAAGCTGAATTTTTGACAAACTTTTCACTTTTTCGATCAACGTGCAATGGTCAGGGTGGGGATTAAATCATAAATCAAAATCAAAATTATTTTGCAATGATTTGAAAAATGATTTTCGATTTAAATCATTTTGTATGAAAGATTTATTTGTGATTTATGATTGTATAGGGATTTTTTTTTGGGGATTTTAAATCGCTTGATGGTGAAAATTTGTTTGGAAATTTTCAGAAGATTATTATCCTTTATGGCTTTTGAAAAAATGACAGTAACCATTGGTTCCATGTCTTTTCATTGAAATAATATTTTGTTCATAAATTTTCAAATTTTCAAATTTAAATTAAATTTTAAATGACTCCAAAGTATGAATATCTAATCATATAAGTATAAAGCATAATTTTCAGTCATATTTGATCATCAGATATGAAAGGAACCGGTCAGTTCCGCAAAAAAAAAATGTTTGACTTCAAGATGTGATTCCTTGATGAAAAAGCAACAAAAAAATTTTTTGTGGATGTAAAGGAACTAGGCACTCATTAAACAAACGTAGATTACTTTGATACTGTAATAAAACACATTTAAGATTTTAAAAGCATTGAAAGCAGGTAGTTCCTCATATGCAGTTAGATCCTGGCATGCTTGATAAAGTCCAGTTATTTATATGTAAGCAGCAAGGCACAGAAGATCAAAAATCACGAATTGGATTTCGTTTAACTCAAAGAGCATGAAACCATTGGTTGCTGTTACCTTTATTTAAGAAATGTTTGGTTTTAAAAGATCCAGTTGCAAAATTCTGGCCGAAAAAAGGATCAACTGCATCCTTACTTATTAGGAAATGCGGCTTAAAAATGTTGATCAAAAAAATAATTTGAGAAGTTGCATACAAAAATTTTATATGGCGGGATTTTAAAATCGCAATAAAATCTTTCATACAAGAGATTAAAATCAAAATTCTAAAAAAATCCCTTTGAAAAAAAGATTTAAATCAAAATCCCTTTTTAAAATCATTGCAAAAATATTTTGATTTTGATTTAAATCACCCACCCTGCCTTTAATGAGTTTGTATCTTAATTTCATAAAGTCATTGCTTAATGTCAAATATTTTTCGCTTCATAAAAAGTAAAATAAACCAATAGTCTTCGACAAAACTTCAAGCTGTAATATAATTTTTAACACTAGATGATTCAAATTAGATTTTCTACAACATTTTTTAAAGCTGACCATTAATTTTCGTAATTGAATTTTAATAATAAAATTCACTCTAATCACTCATTTTAAATCGTTCTCAAGTTATCGAATTATGATAATTTTAATGAGAGATTAAAGATATGTGTTGATAATTTTCAAGCAAAAGAGATCATTCCACCAAAATCAATTATCAAAATTTCGTTAATTGATGATGAAGCCAATTAACATTTTCAATTCTTTGAAAAATCTAAATTATTTCCAAGAGAACTAATAAAAATATATATCTGGTGTCTATCTATTTAGTTCTCAGTGTAATAATCAACGACAGTGCATCATTCTATCATATAATAAATTTGACATAATGGCAGTTCTCAGAATTCCACAAATAATTTTTTTAAATCAGCCCAAAAATAAGCAACTGAGTCAATTTATTGTTTCCTATCAAAAGTCATGATAGAACAAAAGTAGCTTGTTATAAATAAAAAGTGAACACTTAGATATCACCTTATCAAAAGATTTTATACGTCAAGTACAAAATAAGAGAAATCAGCAAATAGGAAGAAAAAATTTCGTACTGGTCATTAACGCAAAAATCAAACAATTTTTGATCCGAAAAAAATTGTAAATTTATGGTAAAGCTGAACGAATTGGCGTTTAAGTAGACCCAAAAAAATTATGAGTTATGTATTAAATATGAAAAGACTTTATTGATTGCGTTTGTTCAATTATTAATGGAAAACCCAAGGCGTGGACACTGGGATTAATCCCAATAATCCCAAATAATCCCAAATAATCCCAATAATCCCAATAATCCCAAATAATCCCAATAATCCCAAATAATCCCAATAATCCCAATAATCCCAGGTTTGGGATTATTGGGATTATTGGGATTATTAAAATAATTTTAAAATTTTTCAAATTTAAAATTTATTAAATGTTAAAATTTTGACTAGTATTGAAAAGAATAATGTCCCCAAAAATCTTTGGATACATTTTGAGTTCAGTATATTAATTTAAAAATTAGCTAAAGTAATGAACTAGCCTTAAAACGTCAAAAAGTGATTTTTTTACCAACTAAATCTAGTGCACTAGTCAAAAATTTACAAAAATCAATTTAAAATGTCTTTTAAATTTATATTTTATTGATTTACTATGCGTTCTAATCAAAATAATCGTGTATTAGCCCGAAAATCAATCAAACAATACATATTTCCTCAAAAAAATTCTTCAAACTAGGTTTTTGATTCGACAAATCTAGTAAAGCTAGTAGCGTCCTCGGTGATAATGACAGCTATGGTTAAATTTTTGACTTTTTGGCTTTTATGGCGATAAACCAGAGATCGAAGCCGGATTTTTCTGTTTAACTCAATTTTTTCGACTTTTTTGATAGAAAAAAGCCATTTAGCGCCCATTTCAATTATTTAAATTGAATTTTACATGCTTTACTATGATTTTTTTTTGTCAGAATGTAGCAATAGTAAGCTCAGAATTTCAAGTTAACCGATTTTTCTATAAAAAAAATCAAAAATTGAGTTAAGCCGAAAAAATCGGCTTCTATCTCTGCAATAAACACTTAAAACGATGCATTAAGAAATAATAAGATCCAGTGAATACCAAATCTAACTTTGTTAAATCTTCAATTTATTGTCAACATTATGGGATCGGGCCATCGAGATCGAAATTGAAAATCCTGATTACAAGTTTATATGGGGAAAATATTAGGAACTTTTTTTAAAAAAAAAGTTTTTGAGATCTAGTACTTCAGCGTTATAGAATAATCAAAAACTATAAAACTTTATAATTTAAAATTTTCTTAATACCATTTCTAATGTTATATAACGTTGGATTTTCACACCAAAAAAGGGGCGAGCTTATTTTAAAATTTTTACATTTTTGACTATATCTTTTGTTACACTCAATGAATCGTACTTAAACTTTTACAGATTTTTAATCGTAGTTGTATCAGTAAACGCTGACCAAAAAATTTCAATCTCGATCCCGATTCCGAAAATTTTCTGCACCGGAATTTTGAGAAAGCATAATTGTCTGTCTACTAACTTTATAAAATTAAAAGATCCAAAAACAAAACTATACTTAACAGAAAGTACTAAAGTCTGCCCGTAATTGATTACGGGATATCATACTCGTATTAACGTAATAAGATTTGGTAACATCATTGAGTTGAACTGAATCTAGATCAGCAGGACTTATTTTAGTGGATAAATTAGATCATTGTTATTATTCAGATCTAAGGTAAAAAAAACCAGCCACCATTTTGAAAAAGGACATGACTTAGGAAAATTCTATATTGAATTTTTTTAACTGTGAAGGTTAAAAAACCCAAAATTTACTTAGTCATACAACACTATTGATTTTTTTAAAAATGATCTTAAAAAATAAAACAACTCAACGAAATTAATTGAAAAAATTGAGAAAATTATGTTCAAAAATATATTTCTCGGGAAGAGAAAGAACAAAACGAAAGTTTAAATATTTTTTCACATGCTTAAAATCGAAATTTTAACTTTTTTAAATCATTCATGAAAATATCCCAGTAACTTAAATAATACAGCAAATAGAAGTATGTATATAATATCGAAAACATGGTACATTTTGTAGAATTTGTTGGGGAAAATAATGGACATTTTAATAAATACAAAACTTTAACAAAAAATTATATAATAATTTATAACATACTTTAGACGAGCAATCTACCACAATAACCTTAAGATTCCTCAAAGTGAGGTTATTGTCTGAAATACTTAGTACAGTAGCTCATTAAACCCCAAAAAACTAGGAATAAAGCCAAAAACTTTCCTTAGACTGATGTTTTAATATGGACATTACTTAGGACACTAGTAACTGCAACTAAAAACGCTGAGGAAATGTCTAATCCATTTCCAAAAACCGATTGTTTAAATGAATCAGTCAAAATTCTATAAAAATTATCAGAGGTCGAAGCCGACTTGAGTTCGCTTCGGTTCGGCTAAAAACCGATTGAATTTTGTATGAAAAGTTATACTTCACAAGTGAAATCAGAAAAAATTCCATACAAAAATCAATCGGTTTTTAGCCGAACCGGAGCGAACTCAAGTCGGCTTCGACCTCTGAAAATTATTATATATGATCAAATTTATATTTTAATACTCAACAAACACTTCAAAATGATATATTTTCACATTGTTTAAACTTTACAAGTCACTCTGGCTTCAAATACCATATTTCTTACAGTTCATTTCCTCAAAAAATTCAAAATATTTGAATAATTTTTTTTCCAATAATCCCAATAATCCCAAATAATCCCAAATAATCCCAATAATCCCAATAATCCCAAATAATCCCAATAATCCCAATAATCCCGAATAATCCCAGCATATTTTTGAGTGTCCACGCCTTGGGAAAACCATAGATCAAGAGGTTCAAGAAGAAAACTTCTTAATAATATTTAGTGTAATGGGTATTTCCATAAAGGAAAAAGAAGATTGAAATTACCTTTTAAGGACAGCATGCTTGTAGCATGAAAATTAGAGAATTAACCCTTCATTTTTTTCTATTAAATTAATGCTATAATCATTAAGCTTCCGCGTCTTATATAATATTTTATTAAAGCAAATCAAGTGAGATTAATTACATTTTGTAAACTGTGTTGATTACATTAAAAATAGCTTTCATAAACTGTTTCTAAAGCTGTGCTATCTTCACTTTGGGATATAAAACTACAATCTAAAAGATAATTCCCGACAGACCTAGATAGCAGAACCCTCGAACCCTATCGACTTCGAGCTCTGGATAATTCCTGATATACCTAGAAAGTATTTGTAACCACTGAACATCAAATGAATTTTTATTAACTTTTACTGCGAATTATTTTAATGTTAAAATATACGATGACCACAATGACCTATGAGGCAAAAACTTTTCAAATTTAATTTATAATAATTAAAATTTTTATAAAGCATTTCATTCAGATAAAAAATAAAAAGTAAATCGTCCACTTAAACTTTAATCTTGGATTTGTACAAGTACTTGGGGTTTTAGTATTTGGGTGTTTGGGATTTTTACAATTCCTGAAACTCCAAATCTATGCCCTATTATTAAGAACTGCAAAAAACTCGTCTTCATTTAGTTTCACGTTCGAAGAAAAATAATTCAAAATTAACTTCAAGTGAGGTCTAGTGAGTGCGCTTTATTTCCTTTTTTATCTGTATGCTAATTTATACGTTTTTTGATAAATACATAAAGAAAATATCATTGCTTTACTTAAATATTTAATTAAGCACATATGACGAGTACCAGATGTTTATTTAAGCGTATGAGTAATTAATTGCTAGTAATTTACATTCTTTTCTTCGTCTTTTTTCTAGACGACGGTATTATGGCGATAATTTTATGATGCAAAATGAACAAGACTTACAATTAAATGGTGAGTCAAGTCGCGATTCATTGGAGTCTAGTGAAATATCATCTGATGCATTCTCACATAACTTTCGTCAAAAACAAAGACAATTCGATCGTATTAATGTTAATAACATTACTCAGCACATACAGAATAATAATAATAAAATTACAATAATAATTAAACATGATAATGGACCAAAACCAGAACAAAGAATCACACCTCAAATAATTTACATTCAACCAGCAGCTAGTCAACCAAATTTATATTCAACAAATGTCAATCAAATAGATGATGATTTGAATGAAACAGACGTTTATAATAGCCTTGATGATCTCGAAAGCGATGAACTGTATCAATTTTATAATGAAAGTCCAATTGATGTACCTGATGATTTCAAACGAAATTCATATCTCGTTTTGAATTTAAATGATGCTGCAAATAAGAAATTAAAGAGAAGAATTTGCACACCAACCAGGAATCTATTGCCAATGCCAATAATTAATGATCGAAAATACTCAACATTAGCAAGTGGTGGGAGTATTGACAAGGTCGCAAAAAACAGCAATAACAAGGAAGATAACGAGAAGGTAATTAGTTCATTTTTTCATACAATTTTTGATGTTGGCGGCAGCAAGAAAAATTGTTTATTCAGTGAAAGTAAAAAATACTATATCATTTATGATCTGTCAATAAGGAAAGAAACTTAGAAGTCAAACTAAAATAATTTAATGGTTTATTGACACAATATTATTTTTTTGTCACGGATATTAACGAAGTTTAAAAGCGTATGGATTTTTAGAGGTTCCTATATCTTGACTATATTAATACACTCTAATCATTAAATTTCGGTTAAAAATATCTTCAAATGACTCTTCATTTAAGGTTAAAAGAAGTTGAATAGCAATGAATATCTTGTTCTTTTGTAAATTTTTTTAGACATTTTAATTGCTTTTGTGAACTTGAAAGGTCATTTAGAACTCATAAAGCAATTGTCTGTTTAAGATTGCGGTAAATATTCTATGGGTTATTTAAAGAAGTCATTAACTTGAAATTTTGTTTTGCATCCAATTAAATCATCTGCTTATGTAAAACTTAACTTTAATTTCTATCTGTTTTCAATCAATCATCAAAATTTTACTCATAATTCAAAACTTTTTATAATCAAACAAGTAAAATCTATGATTTATTATGCAATTTATGGCCACAAAACCTCGATAATATTTTATTATTATCTAAAACCTATTAATTGCTGTGATGAAAAATTGACGCTCATTAATTTACAGTAATTGCATGGTTGCAGAAAATTTTACTAATATTTTCAATAGCTTCATCCTCCAATGTCATTTGTAAATTATTTTCAACGTTTTGTTTTCAGTTCCATAGAAATTAAAATTATAGTTTTGATTTAAGAATTTCCATATTAACTTGAAAAAAACCTTTTTGTGGATGAATTGGCAAAAAGTTAAACTGTACATTTTTGAAGGTAACTGAATTCTATAGAAACAGAAAAAAATGTTCATGCGATAAGATAAGTAAGTTCATTTCAAAACTTAACTTAAAACTGTGCGAAGCTCACAAGCACTTCACATTACTGATCTATTTGTTCGTTAATTATTTTCATATGCGATCTCTAACAAAAGAGTTTTATTCAACCAAAAATTAATAGGCAGTAGTCACAAATCCGATATGTGAGTAATAAAATTAAGTTATTGATCAATACAAAGACATAGAACAAAGAAGTTTTATTCATTCGTATATGCTTTAAATTAATTTCAATTAATTAATGCTGTATATTGTGCGATTATTAAAAATGTAAGGGGTTGAATTAAGGGCATCTAAGATTTAGAGACCGAGTAAGTCTCATTAATCCAGTTCTGTTTTCAATTATTCAATTCTCTCTTCTTGTTATGTGCTCTATTTTTAGACAAGACAACACCAAAATAATAACTTGCAAAAGCAATCAGTTGTGAATAATACTCAAAGAAAAGCAGTAGTGCCAGTGAAGCCAAAAAGAAATATACAGCAGAAAGCAGCAACTCTTCAGCCTGATTCGAGTAAGTCAACCACATTTGGTGAACGCAAGCAGAATTTCAAAGAGCAGTATAATTGGAATGTTGTCTTTCCACCTACGACAATTCATGAAAACTCCATTTTATATCGTGAAACAGCATTAAGAAATTCTATGCGTAATAAATGGAAAAAGATGAGTGAAAAAATGGTTACAATGGGAAGTAGCAATCTATGTAATGATTTTGGCGGTTCCACTAAAGAATTATCGCCACGAAAAGTGCAAAATGCAAAATTATTATTTGATCAAAAACATGCAAAAAGTGAAATTAGTTTGAATCAGTTAAAAAATGACGAAACCAAAGCTCAAACTTCTGTTCTCCTCAACATGATTGGATTACCATTCAATTGGAAATCGCGTATGTTGATGAGTAGACCAAACAACAATAATAATAGTGCTAATAGTGAAAAGAATAAAAAAAGACCAAATTTATTGACAAACTTTTGGAAGAAAAAGCGCATTGGGGACGCATTAACCTGCAATAAACGGTGAGTTGATGCATAAAAAATTATGTGATTATGCTTCATTATGAATGACTATTAAGTCGACATTAAATATATGAAAATGCTGAAAGCATGTTAAGTTCTACAATATTTATCATCGCATTGTTGGCTGATTCACAAGTTAAATACACGAAAAAAAAGAGAATCATTGCGCGGTATTATGCTCAATAGCTGTGAAGTAATATCCGGTTTAAAACTGCGGAAAGAACAAAAAACGTCCAAATGCAGTCTACAAATTGAGGAAATGCGACGAATTATGTTTTGATGGAACTTTTGAGCAGGTGATTTTGACATAAATGATCAAAATTTGATTGAGAAAGTTTTGTGCAAGTTTCATTCAGAAATAAATTTTTAAAACTTTCATTCACAATGGGCAAAATTGAGAATATTTTAACATGTTCAAAAAGTTTTATTGATCTGGTTTTACAGTACAAGAAAAGTTAAGATCCGAGCTTAGTGTGACAGATTATTCAACCTGATTATTCCGATTATATTTTATTACATAACTAATTGAATCTTAAATTTTTTTTAAGCGATCTTTTGTGAGGAGTAGCTCAAGAAATGTTACTAATACTTGATCATTTTTAAAAAATGATCCTCTTTTCTAGGAATGAATTTATCTCCAAGTAACTCATTTGTTATTTTATTAACGTAAAACGAAAAATATCACAATCCAGAGCAGTGATACTCACAAGGTTGTTTAATATTTGCGTGATAAATTATAGTCACTCATGAAAACAGCACAAACTATGATTTATAATGAACTTTTATCACTCTTTTCCAAAGAAATATGCAGAATACGGAAAATACTTCTCTGTTTAAAATAATTCAAATCAAAAATGTAAAGCAACATTTTGTCATTAATATTTATGCATCATTAATGACTTTACAAATATTTTTTTTCAATCAGGTTTTGAAGTTATCTTTCCTTTTCTTGCCACTTACTTACATGACTCTAATACACACATGAAACCAACCGGATAATTCGTTGAGTTTATCTTTCTCTCTTCTTTGTTGACTTGTCTAAATGTGCCCTCATCTTTTAGTTCATATAGTTAACTTGAAATATTAGCACGGTTTCTACGTATTGTCAAATAAATAAGTGAGAATTTGAAATTTGGAAATTCATAAATTAAATATTTGACAATTTTTTGAATGCTTTATAAGACATTTAACCTTACCTCTAAGATAATTATTTAAAGTTAAAAAAAAAGGAATTAGAAAAATGTTTACACTTCTTCACAGAAATCGAGATTTTCGAGCTAAAAGTAAAAAACAATTCGACTTTCTTAATTTAACAAAACAAAAGAAAGAGGATAAAATAGTTCTGCATCAGGCTCTTAGCTTTAAGAAGCCCAAAAAGTAAGAAATTTTGGAATATATTTATTTTATAAAGTGTCGAAAAATACTCAAATACCGGTTTTATCAGAAAAAATGATGTTAATATAAGTATTCAGTAAATAATTAAAGTTTAAAGGTTGTAATTTTTGGGCTGGCATTAAATTTATTTGTTAAGAATTTTCATTATATAAAATTTACATGCTAATGAAAAATATTGTTTGTGCAATGAAACGGTCAAGGACGCTGGGAATGAATCCAAATAATGGTAAAATATTCATACATTGACAATTTTTTGCTTTGAATGTAAGGGCAAATTCTCAAATGACGACTATGAACAAATTGAAATTTCAACCCTTTTGTACCATAGGAAATGGAACGCAAAACTTTGATCTTTACTAAACTTTGACATTACAAAATTTGCGCCAATAAAGTGTGTTGTATTAGTTTTATGTACTCAAACAACTGCTATGCTTTGTGCATTCATACGAGTAAATAAAAAATGAATGAATTCTTTTATGGTTTTTACTGACCAACTCTAAGATTGTGTTAAGTTCTGTTATCTGCATATACTCATAAGTTTTGACTCAAGTAGGGAATCTACAACTAATATAGGGTTCGTTCACTTATTACGTAACGCACTAGGGGGGGAGGGGGGGTCTAAGATTTTGTTACGGTTTGTTACAGGGGGAGGGGGGGGGGTCTAAATTTTGTTACGTAACTTTTCAAAAAATATATTTTTTTATAATTTTTTCTATATTAAATTAAAATTTTAAAGGAAGTATAATAAACATTTGATAAACAATTTAAATGAAAAAAATTATTGTTACGTTATGGGGGGGGGGGGAGGGGGGTCTAAGATTTTGTTACGCTTTGTTACAGGGGGGGGGAGGGGGGGTCTAAAAACTCGTTTTTTTGCGTTACGTAATAAGTGAACGAGCCCATATCCTAAAGAGATGTTTTTCAATTCTTATTTGTCATAAAAATTATTTATGTTGTTGCGCAATCGATGCGTGAATAGCCGTCGATCAACCTGTGATTTCCCATTGTAATTTTATTTGTGATTTCGAATCACGAATGTTTTCTTATTACGTATACATGAATACGTTTATATTGTGTTTATAAACAAATTTAAAAATTACCTCTGAGTTAGTGTGTCTTAATTAAGCAGACAAATACATTTAATTTCTACGTCATGCGAGAACTCTGCTCACTATGAGCTAAATGTATATTTCTCTCACAAATTTTTATTATTGTTGGGATGAAGAAGAAAAAACGAGAAATAATAATTCGCGTATGAAAAGAGAACTCGCAGAGATCAGTATTTTGCCGGCTATAGACTTGATTCAATCGTTTTGTTAACTGAGAGAAAATAAATAAATAAAGTGCTGACGAGAAAACTTTTTGACACTACGTGAGCCAAGTTTGGAAGTCTTTTTTGTAAATTTTAAGCGTCAGTGAACTTGAAAACATCTTCAACAAGTGTCTTATCTAAGACGTTTGTGCCATTTTTATTTTCTACTGTAAAATTTATCACTTTGTATGACAAACCTATTTAATGAAATGCTAATTAAGAAGAATATACAATACCTGTACCTATATAAATAGCGTGAAATGAAAAACAATGGGCGTGTGGTGATGTAATATTCATTATTATAGTGCCTGAATCATGGCAAAACAGAACAGAACTACAACAATAGAATCCACAAAAATTTTAAATTAAATATCATGACAGAGCTCTCAGACATTTTTCCATAACTTTTTTTTTTTAATTCGATGGAAGAAATTTTTTATAAGATCTATAATTAGCAACAAATTTTATACACAGAAAACAGTCAAGTCGATTCATTTTCATCTCAGCTCTTCAATAAAAAGTGAAGTTTTAAGACCAAGACATCTGCTGATCCTAAGCTGAATTTTTATGAGATGATGAATCACAATCAAATTCTTGTTTAAAAAATCTCATTCAATTCAGACATTAAATTCTTGAAATTCCTTTTCATACATTTTCATTTATTGTGACTTATTGTCACTGATTTTTACTCAAAAAACAAAAAATTTATGTACTTTATTTTTGAAGGTCATGGTCTGTTGCTCCGCAACTAACAACAATAATGTGTAAAATTATCTACTAGTACTGACTATATCAAATATTGAATGTTGTTTCCTTTACATTTTGATGTTCCTTCACATTAGCGATATTTCCTTGTGGCATTCCAATAGAATGACAATGAAATCCATTAAAAATGATTCATCAAGAAAAGTATTACTTTGATGCAAGCTTTATTGCAAAGATTATTGTAACAGTCATGTTTCAAAATCATAGCGAGTAAGATGATAAAAACAGGGCTTTTTACTGAATAATATTAAAGTTTCCTGCTCAAGTCATTTTTATAATTATAACCAGAGAATAATTAGTCAGTTTTAGCCCTTCTTGTTACATGTCTGCTTTTAAGTTGCATCAAGAGAAAAAGTTTACTTATCATGTAGCAATAAGAGCTAAAAATAAATCTTCGCTCACAGCAAAACTTGTTGATAAATGTGAAATTGCGAATATTAAGAGAGATGCAAAATATGTCAGTATGATGTCATTGTCGGCTTTCAAGTATCTTTATTCTCTTGATTCTCTTCATCGCCATCGTGACATTTCATTTAACAACAAAAAAAAATCTCAACTTTCAAGGTTTGGCCTTGTTAGAAAAATCATTGTGTGCCATTAGCGTTTCTCTTTTTATCTCAATTTTACGGAATTCCCTGTCAACGCACGCTTCATAGTTCAAAACTGCTATTTTGACTCATACACGGAAAGAGTAGAAAAACCTGTCGTAATACATTTTTCTCTTGTATCGATTCATGACGTCATATTAAAGAATCACCATGCGCGTCAAATCAGCTGTTGTGTTTTCATTTCAAGTTAACTTCCCATATAATCAACTGCCGTATTAGTTTACTTTATAAAGTTAAAGATTTTCTGGTAATTGCATTTTAAATTGAAAATCAAAGTTCAATTTAAAGATTTATTAATTTCAATAAATTAATTGCATTATTGCAATTCAAGGTTTAATAGTCGTGTTATTATTGGAATTGAAATGAATCAGTCAATTCTTTAAAAATATCTTTTGTTTTTGTTGCTTTAATAATCGTATAGGAGGAAACTGAAAATAAAACTGATGGCATTTGAATATGTGATAGCATCATTTTTGATTAGATATAATATTTGTATTATTCCCCATTTTTATAGAACTAAGAGTTTATCAACTCCTGCAAATTATTGATTTTTTAAATAAAAAGAAAAAAGAAAGAAAACTAATACACATTCCAAAATGAATAAAGAGGATTTAATGTGGAAAAATATTTGGGACACACTTCAAGATGATAAAATGAAGCCTCTAAGTCAAAGAGAAATTAAGTAAGCTTTATTTAATATCGCCACGTGCTCATTAACTTTTAACGTATTTTGAATGATCTAAAAATTTACGATCATGTCCAGCTGCACAGCACAGCCTAAATGTTTAAAAACTGCTGGACTTTTTTTGTACAGCTAGCAAATCAAAACATTGTTAGATCTTCAAAGAATTAAAATTAATTAAATTATACAGTGTATCACATTTTAAAAAAATGCAGAATTATTTGTTGAGTACAGAAAAGCTGCTTCTCTCAGAGTTTGTTTAAATGTTTAATTAATCAGGCAAAATTTATCAAGCAAAAACTTTCTTGTTTGTCATTTCAGAATTCAAGATTCGGATGGTGGATTTTTTGAGAGATTCGGCTCAATTCTCTACAGTCAAGGCGAAAACCATGACGAGAAAGTTAAGGAGACTGCATCATTACCTAGTCCATCAATTGAAGCTGTTGTCTCCAGCAAATTAATACAGAAATCAGAAGCAACAATCGAATCAAGATTTGGACTTGAAGATGAAGGAAAAGATAGCGGAAATGAATCTACAGAAGCTGATAGTGATAGTGAGGAAAAAAAGGAAGAGAATTTTAAAAAGATCCAAAACTCCCTAGTTGGCATGAATGTAAGTTGATGAATTTATTGCAAACTATTTCATGGTCAAGTGTTTTTCTGAGAATCTGTAAAATCTTATCACTTGAACATTTTGATTTAATAATTTATGGATAGCATTTGAAGGATTTGGCATCATATATGATAAATTTCTATTATAGATTTATGTTTATTAGCAATTAAATGATTAATGATCATTGAATGAGTTATTGTGAACCAAATTTGAAAATGGAATTGTTTCATTTTCAATGTTTGAAACCGAAGATCACCACTTACTAATTTTCTCTCAATTACTCAGTTTAGACTTCAGACACAACATACTTTTATTTATCTTTGAGACTTTTGTGTTGAAAAGAAAATCTTAAAAATAGCATACATGCGAATTATAGTGTATAGCACATGACCTTGAGAAAATCAGCATAGAATCAACTGATTCATTCATAATGACATTTTTATTACACACATGTATCGTCTTGATCTATTGAGATATACCAAAAACAATTTGATCGACAGCTCTTTAATTATCTTTATATTTTTAATTGAGCTATTAACGATGATTGACGAAGATTATGACGGTCGAAAAATGAGAGCTTCTTGATTTTCAAATATCGTTTATGATCGCTTTTATTATAAATTATTTAAGATCTGATTTTATTCATTAAATAAAAGTACCAATGCAAAGAATTCCATTACATTATTTTTAAAATTAATTCCTAATCTAAATTTGTACTTAAAAGTTCAGTTGCCTCATTTGAAATTACTTAAGGATTTATTTTTATCGTAAATCGCTCGTGAGAAAATTTACTTTCTTGGCTCTCCATTTACATCTAGTTTTAAATTTATCTAAGTACTTGGAAAAGTCAATAAATAAGTGATTGAACTGAGGATAATTCTATCTTTAAATTTTTTTTGATAAGGATATTTAGAAGTTGATTTTGAGAAATCCTACTGTCTACAAAAGGTCTCTGGTTTGTTTTGCAAATGCTAAAAGAATAACAACTGCCAAGGTTATCCATTTTATGTGTAGCCATACATCTAATCTGATTTGAAAATCAAATTCGGTACCTAATTTATTAGAATCTTCGGCAATAAAAATGGTTATGATCATGTAAAGTTTGGAGTACAATTTCTCCACATATTCAACCATAGATACCTCTCTGTCACGAATTTGTAGCTTTATTCCTACAGGACTAAAAAATTCCTTACACTCAACAATTTGCACTTTTTTCATAATCTTCATTACTGAACTAATCCACTTGACTCATATTCCACATTATAATAATTTTTGAGATTCCTTTCTATACAATGAAACAGCTGTAGAATAAATATAAATTAGTTAAACTCAAAATGAATGGCTAAGGGAGAAAAATGATCAGATAAAAGCAAAACATGAGATAGAGAAGAGGAGACTCAAATGTGCCAAGAAGCTTCTTTTCATCTTAAACGATCGAAGAATTTTTCTCAGTTGAATTTCAGCAACCGTAAGATTAAGATCGTGAGAAATTTTTGGTGAAAAAGAGTGAAAATTCTTACTTGCATGACAAGAATAGAACAAAACTCAATTGCATAACATTCAAAGTTTAATAAAAATTTGATCAGTTCCAAAAAAAGACAAAGTCTGAGAAAGCTGAAATTTTTCATTCATAAAAGTGATTTTTTTTCTTCTCACTATTTAATTTATTAATATCTCAAGTGTCCCACACATCGGTTACAGTGTGAGAAACATTTTTTTTGCAAGAAAAAAAAATAAAATAAAGAAAATCCTCGATCGATTCAGTTTTGTGTGAACAAGAAAACTCAAGAGAAAAGAGAAAATAAAAGAAAAACAAAAAAAAAGATTAAAAATACCTCAAAATTGAGATGAATTTTTGCGACTTTTTGTGATGAGATTTCAATCCTCTTGATTAATTTATTGTTTTCATTCAATTTGATCATCGACGAGCATAACTAAAATTATTATTTTGTGCAATATGAGCACATTATCGTTGACTAGATTGTGCAATGGCGGTGGATCAAGTCACAATAAAAGTTTCAATATAAAATATGGTTCACTTCCGACTAGAAAACATGTGCCAAAAGTTGCCTCAGTTGATATTGACATGAATAATAATGCGCCACAGCCGACCATGAGAAAAAAGCACAATATTCTTAATAGACGTGGCAGTTTGTATCATAATCAATTTAAAGGCGTTCGAAAGGAGTTGATCGAGAAACATGCAAACATGATTATTCATACAATGACTGTATGTTGAAATTTATTCTTGCTATAGTGCAATAAATTGTATTTATGACTGTATTTTTCTTAACGACCATGTCCTAAATTTACTCATTTTTTCCACTTTCATTTCTCACACAATTTTCATCTCGTTTAATTTCAGATTGAAGAATTGTATGAGGAAATTCTTTATGAAATTTTGCACAATGTGGGAAGTGATGAATCTAAAATTGATCCTGAGAAAATGTACAATTATATGCAGGAAGCTTTCAAAATCCCAGAGGAATCGCATGTAGAGTTATTAGAGAAAGCCAAATTCAAGGAGCCTCCTGAGCTCAGGTTGAATATTGAAATTATTGAGGCTAAAGATCTAAATTCGAAGGATCCGAATGGACTTGCAGATCCTTTTGTAACACTTTATATAGCATCAGCACCAACTACACGATATACGAGCTCCGTTAAATCTGGAACATTAAATCCCAAATATGAGGAACATTTTTCATTGTAAGTTATTGATTTTTTCCCCTATTCTTATATTTTTTACAGACATCTTAATAATGATGCTCTGTAAGATTACTCAATACAATACATAAAATTTATTACATCATAAATATATTTGCATACATAGACCAATATCAGAAAATCCTAACGATGATACACTTGTTGTGGAAGTATGGGATTTTGATCCAGCAGAAACAATTGGCGAGAAGATGAATAAGTTTTTTGACGTAAAAGGCGCGAAAGGATTCCGTAAATTGATGAAGGAAATTGCAGTAACGGCGTCATCAGGAAAGCATGACAATGAGTTTGTTGGATCAGCATCAGTTCCGCTTAAAACTATTCCTGCCAGTGGTCTCACAATGTGGTATAATCTTGATAAGAAAGGAAAGACGAGAACGCAAGGAACAATCAAAGTTAGGCTTAATTTCAGCAGTGAAAAGAACGACCAAGTTGCATCACAAGAACATCGCCATTTATTGAAAATTCTCCTTTATAATGAACTAGAATTGTCTAAAGTCGCTCATTATTGGTGGTCAGGAAAGTTCAGTCAAATGGCAGAAATCATTATTACACAACATCAAGCACAAAGTGGTTTAACAGACATCGATGTGGCATTTGCTCAATGGTCTGTGTTCACAGAAGTTCATCAACAACATCCATTATCATTTGAGTTATTTGAAAGCATTCTTGATGTCCTCATACGACCAATTCAGACGAAAAATGTGAGCCATGATGAAGAAATCTCACTCTTTTGGGAAGCAACTAAAAGATTATTGCCATCTTGCTTTGGAATTATTAGGAAATTAAGGAAGAAGCTTGCTGGAGATTCAAATGCAATGAAGCATCTTATAAAAGCATTAAATATAATTGCAAAAATCTCAATGTTAGAACCACCAGATCAATTTGACTTGTTTCCTGAACAATACTATGGATGGCTTAAAAAGAGTAATTCATCAACATCCTGGGATATTCGCGAAGCTATCAATCAAGCTGTCACGATAGGGACAGAAGAATATTATGAGAGTATCGTTGACCATAATGAACTTAATAGTGATGATAACGACGTTAGATTACAACAATTAATCAAAATTATTCAACTGGTTAGATCTGACTTACAGAGGGCTATTGAGCATCATGATAAAGTCTTCCAGGAGTGAGTATCTGTGAATTACTTGATTTAATATCCAATATTTTATGATCCTTAAAACAATATTTTTAAAGTCTGTCGAAATCCGTTAATTTGGCAGTTCTATACTGCAGTAGATAACAAATATAAGATACCTTTAAAATCAATCATGTTTGCCAAAAAAGGAACTTCATATAACAAAAATTGCTTTCTTTTTATTTACAGAACAATGAATTACCAATATGCAGGCATGCTTTATAAAGTCTATGATAAAAAGTTGATGGAGCAAGTGAAGCCGGTTGTTATTGATATATGCAATTCAAAAATTGAACGTTTAGACTTGTTAGATCGAAAGGATATGAAGCACAATAGATATGAAGAAATTAATATGCTGACAACGCTCTTTGAACTGTATTTATTGTTGAAACGATTTGCTGTCTTGGGAACTGCTTTGTGTCCTGGTATCACGGAATTCGAAATCAGTGATTATTATGAATGGTTTACCAATGGTGTTGCTCACTGGCTAGACATTTCACTTTATAAAGCATTGACAAGGTATGAATTATTAAATTGATGCTATAAAAGTACTCTAATATAAAATTTTTCTCGCATACAGAATCAAAAAAGCAATAGAACTTGATAGTCTGATTGCAGTCGATGCAACAGTTAAATATAGCAGCTCCGCGGTTGATACATTAGCGATATTTTATCAAATTCGTATATTTTGGCAACAATTGGCATGGCCAAGTGCAGAAGGTGCTTTCATATTTGTCAGCAAAATTGTTGATGATATTTGCAAATGTTGTACATTTTATGGTGATACAATGGCTGAACGAGTTGATAGTTTAGGAATGGTGGAGACAATTTACGAGAAGAAATTTGAAGTTACATCTGAATGGTGCTTGGCAATTAACAATATTGATTACATTCGTCAAAGCATTCACTCCTTTGTCAAAGAAATGGGCGTGGATGATATAATTAGAAATATGAGTGATTTTCGTGGACCTTTGGATGCACAGCGCTGCTCTGATACATTACAAAATGTCATTGAAAATGCAATTGACATTGGAAAGAATAAAATTTATGAATTGACACAGAAACTCGCTCGAAAAATGAGTCCTGCAATGCGACGATTTTTAGTTGAAGGTGCTGAACTATTCGATCAGGATTCTAATTCAATGGATCGTCTCATGATGTATATGGAGGATTCATTAAAGACACTTCATACTGAATTGAATGATGACAATTTTATGCGTATGCTTGATGTCATATGGGATGAATTGGCGAGTATTTTATATGATTTAGTTCACTCGTCATTCGAAAAGCGTAGACCGCCTGCATTCTATTCAAATTTACGTTCTACACTTCAAGTTATGGTAGAAAATTTCAAGTGCCAAAATGATCAGCAAATTCAATCAACCGATAAAGAGACACTAGAGAAAATTGATAAGCTTCTGGAAATTCACGGCTTTGAAACGTCAGATCTCATTCATCAGTATTACAAAGATAGATACACAATTCAACAAAATATGAGTGATACACCTTTTGGCATATTAACAGTTCAGTGCTTTTTCCAAGGGAAAACATTAGAAATTGAGATTATGAATGCAAAACATTTATTACCAATGGATACCGATGGAAAATGTGATCCATTTGTCAGAATTCACTTCTTTCCAGAAGAAAAGTTTTTATCAGTTGGACAACCAAAAACTAAAGTTCACCAAAAGACACTCTTTCCGTTATTTGATGAGAAATTTACAATGTAAGTTATTGATCTTATTAATTTTATTTCCATCATGATTCTATAGTTTGCAAATCTTTAATATAGAACTCTGAATGATGAACAACGTAAAATGAACGAGGCAGTCATTCTGTTTAGCGTTAAGGACCATGACTACTTTGGTTACGCTAATCAATATGTTGCTGAAGCATTTTTGATGTTTAAAGACATTGCAGATATAACTGGTGAAAGCGGAAGCATTAAACAGTTGCATTTAACATTAACAAGACCACAAAACGATGGTAAGTTCCTGAGTGTACAATTGGATTTAAAACCGCATTATTCACTTATATGCATACCAAAATGGTGACAAATTGGCAACTCTCAATTATAACCATGACTTTCCAACTCATTAATTAATTTAAATTTTACATTTTCTAATAGATATGGAGACTGTTAAGGCCCTTCAATATCGAGTTGGTGATAAGCTTGCAAAGGAGTTCTTGAAGAAATTGAAGACTAAAATTTCGGACACACAAGCTAAATGAACACGAGAATAAAACGTTTTAAATTAGTAATTGATGTTGTCTCTTTTTGTGCCTTTAACTCATTTTAATTTTAATAACAAATAAAAATAGAACCTATCGATGGACATTAATGTCAAATGAAATATTAAAGTTTGTATATTGAATTATTTTACAGATAATTTTAAAGTTTCAGAATTGATTTAAGTGTCAAAAATCAAGGACACATTTAAGAGAGTTTATTCAGTAAGTGGGATCTCTCCCCAACTAAATCTCAAGAATTTTTTTATTATCCACTTGTAGCTAATGCTTAAATTTATAACTGAAAAATCTCAAAGATTCACAGTACACATAATTGAGACGCATTTCTCATAAAACATCATACAGCGAGGAAGTAAATATAATCGCAGAATCAAGTCATCTATAATTTTCAAGCCATTGATCTATGAGAATTTTATCAAATAGAAAATTTATCATATCTTTCTGTATGGATGTATAGCTTTCATAAAAAATACTTGGTAACAAACATAAAACTTAATAATGAAGCACGTCAGCTTCAATTAATTAAGACCATTATATAGTAATAAAGACGTTAAATAAATGCAAACTTCATTAGCACCTGTTTTTTTTCTATAAATCACTTCACGGTATATAATAAGATATTTTTATATCTTGTTAATGTATCATGTATGCCGTTGTGCTTCTCCTACCCTACTAAATACGTACATCCTATCTGTATCTTAAAAAGCGTATTTTCTTGATATTAAAGTAAGTAATGGCATGACATTAACATATAATATGCTTATGGAAGTGAATGGAAGCTTAAGAACAAACATTCATGGATTATTTGACGCCTTACTGCAATTTAAAATATTCTCCGATAAAACTTTAAAATATACTTAAAGGATTCTTAATGTAAGCAATCAGCTTAATATGAGCTATACTAAAGATATCTGTACATGGAAAATAGTGTAAGAAGAATCTTATGGATGAAAAATTTTCCTCCTTTTCACTATCAATTTACATGCATACGCTGCTTCCTCTCATCGTCAGTGTATTTCGTCTCATTTATTAAGGATAAAATTCACTCTATTCATAATCCCTCTTACAACTTTTCTTTTCTCTCAACATCATTCATAATGTATGTATATGTCAAGCTTAATTAAAATATAAAATATTTTCATCATCATCATCATCATGATACTTTATACCTGAACATGTATCGTGCAATTCAAGGTATGAAATTTATTTTTATAAAGAATCAAAAAGCTCTTTAGTGTAGTGTTCTTGTTATTTGGTACTTAATAAATACTACTTATATTTCAGCTCAGCAATCCCGAGTTCAAGACTAGATTTGGTAACTAATATTTGGATTTTTAGATACTCGGATAAAGTTCAGTAGAATTGAATTCGATGGCAATCTCTCAAATCATTTTATATGTTCTTTAATAAAAAAAAAAGATCTTTGAAAGTTCTTCTTCCTTGCTCAAGTTTCCTTATTAGTTCATATGTATCGAGCAAAAAAGAAAGCATCTTACTGAATACTGATGAATACCATAAAATGAACTAAATGGAATGAAACACAACAACAACATGCATCAACTTGATCTAAAGGATATTAAAATTAAAATCTTGTCATTGTTATAACAAGCAATTTACAGTACTTCCTGCTCACTCAAGAAAACATGCATGTATCAAAAACATGAGGATATGTAGATATACGGAGGAATGTATTGGGGTCGTTTGTATTGGTTTGTATATTTAATATCATGTCTGACGATAAATGGAAGAATGAAGCTGGAACCGGGGTTTTTAAAATAAAGCTTTAAAGGAGCAAGAGGATAAAACTTTAAACTTGAAAGTCTAAGTCATTTGTCACAATTTTCAGAAAAACTATCAATATAGCCTTTTAAGCGTTACTTAATATCCGAACAATCCTTTTATGTTAAAAAAAAAATAGAAACATTGTTTTATATGAACGACAACAAATTATTCATAAAGATGAAGATACTTCAGAATTTCTTATGCCTTATCATATGTATAGGTAAAATCAAGATACACATTGGAAGCTCAATCATCTTAACATGCATCTGCATGTTAAATTTTATAAAATTGATTTTCTCTATGCTCGTCTCTCAAATCTCAATGTTATTAAAATTCATTGACAAGAAGTTAATGTCATGTCATTGATTTCCTGTACAACGATATTTCATGACTACATACTCACAGCAAATTGTAAAATAAGAAATTGAGAAAAAGAAATTCAGCTTGTTCCGCGTTATATTTTTTCATACTTCCTTCATGTCGATACACGTCTTACAGTGAACAGGAATAATGGTACATGTACAGAATAGCACAAACTCATTCCGCTACTTATGCGAATTTTTAACATGCACCTTCTTAATTTCTTCTCATCTTCTTTTAATACTACACGATCTCAATACAAAATTTATCCAGTTTTTTTCAAACATCGCTTCTAGCTGCAAAGCATGTAAATTTTCCTTCTTCTTCTTCTTCTTCTTATACTTCACACAGGATATGACTTGAATCGATACAGTTAAGTAGTTATAAAAAGCAATAAAAAATCAAGCTAGCTCTTGTGCTTTCTTGTGATAAACAGAGTTGTCATGGCTTTTTATGGCTGGAAATGTTATTCTAGTCGATAGAATTTTAACTTCTCAGTTGGTTGATGTAGTTTCAAAATTAGTTTTCAAGCCTCCTGTAAATCCACACATTATAGTATCAACCCTGCATAAAGTTTTCTTTTTCTCATTCCCTTAAAATAGCAGAATGAGCTAAAACATATAAAAAAATTATTCCTTATAGAGCTAGCTGTCTCAAAACGCCACACCTTTATGGAATTTTATACTTCTGATTATTTTATGCAGAAACATTTTTCAATTTGCATTGAAATTAACAATTTAACTTTAACGAATAATTTCACATCTTAAGTTCACTGAATAGAAAGCATTACAAAGTATTAGGTCATCCAATCTTAATAAATCAATAAATTTATTTTTGAATCATTCAGTCTACCTCCTCTGAAAATTTTGGACTTGAATGTAGGTGGACACGAGTCTTTTTCTGCTTTTTTATTATCTGATATTGGATAGCTTTATAGAAAGGTTAAAAATGAAAAAAAAATCAATTTTATGTGTCCTTATTGGACATCAAGAATATTTTAATTAAAAAGAAAATGTATCAATGTATGTCTATCAAAAATTACAAAATCTCAGACCCCTTCTCTCTTTTTCTCTAAGTAGCGAACATGACAAATTATTGACTATTAAGAAAAGTCAATAGATTTTTGGTGTGATTTATAAATAAGTCTCGAATTATTGCTGCAATACTGCTTAAAAATACCGCTAATCCCACTTTTAATATGTGAATCTTAATCTGATTAAACATGGGAAAAAACATAATGAAAGTCTGATGAGAAATCTCGTGAGAGTTACACTTGCAAAAAATGTTAAATACCTTTAATTATTGTAAAAAAATTTCCGTCCCACACTCTAGTTTACTCCTTTCCAATTTTAATTAAAATGTACGTATTGCGGTTTTTTTTTTATTTTCCTCGATTTTTATTATATTTGCTTCCCTTTTTTTTCATCTCTCGACTCTCCCTCATGATGATGATGATGAAGCCACAATGGCTGTGAAAAACATTTAATTATGCTATCATTATTTTTATGGTTGTGAAAATTGAACAGATTTTTACAATGAAATTTAATTAGCGAAGTAAAGCAAAATTAAAGGAACAAAAAAGTACATTAAAATATATATTTTATGTAGATTCGAAGTTAAAAATGAAAAGTATGGAAAGGAGAAAAAGAAAATATTTTTAACAAACCGTTTATGGGATTTTTTCTCCTTTTTGTTTAAATGGCTTTCAACTTTTTTTTATAAAAAATTTAAAAGGAGAAAATCAAAGAGCTTTGAGCACAAAACCCTTAAAAAATTGGTAGTCTTACCATAAGATTGATAGCTTGAGGGTGGTAGAGGAAAATTCGTTCTTTTTTCGTTGCAGACAATCACATTGACATCAAGCATATGCTAAAATAGGTAGAAGTTTCGTTTCTTCTTCATCCACAAAAGTGCTTGAAGAGCTTTATTTTGTATGCTATTTGTATGTTGTAAGGATGTTAATGGAGACGAGTTTTGAATTTTAAATAAATTTTTCCGAGTAGCTAGAAAAGGAAAGCTGTAAACAGAAGAAAAATTAAAACTACTTTTGAACCATTTTATAGCCTGAAAGGGAAAAGTCTCCTTAAAATTAGGACCAATAATTCGCAAGTAGCTTACTTAAATGGCAAATGTAAAATATGCAATATACTTAATTGTACACAAAGCAGTCCTAAAATAAGTGACGAAACCATTGAAATCCACATTTATCTAAGATTATTAAGAAGATTCTAAAAGATTCAGATATTTCAAACTTTAAAGCCAAAATAAAAATCCTTGTTGTTTTCTAGTTCATGTGGCCAAACAATTTTATCTCGTCCTTTTTTAAAAAAACTAAGAAAAACTCATCTGCATAAGCTACTTAAAGTCATTGTTTTACGTCTTAGTCAAAGTTTCTCTCTCATCCATTAGATTCAATTTCACAACTCATACATGAAATGATGAAAACTTTTACTTTATGGCTCACAGCTTGACAAGAGTTCTTTTGAAAAAGAAAATAAAAAAGACATTCATAGCCTCCAGATTCACATCGTAAATTGCTTTACTGTCCTATCTTATAAAATTATTTCCTACTTCCACAAATAAAATAGCAAAACTTAAAACTGGATTAAGGAATAAGTAAAATATAGTTGCAGCTTCTCTATACTGCATCTCATATATTTTGGGGAAAAAAGAAGCAAATATTTTCTCGAGACATTATTTACAATTATAGGATTTATTTGCAGACTTTCCTTTATTCTCATGAATTTTCCTCTCCATATAACCACAGAGTTTTTCAATTATTTTCAATAGAAAATAAGTTTTAATGTCATTTTAAACAGCAAAACTCTTTTATTTTATTCTCATCGATCTTTTAGTGCCATTTCTTTGTAGCAAATGTGTACGGTGTGTTCTTATAAGAAATCTCTCATATGCGCTCACTTTGAGTGACTAGGATGTAAGGGCATGGATGAGATTTTGCCACAGATGA